CACATCATAAGTGTGCATGTCCAGGACCAGTAGATTGACTAGATTTCTGAGTCTGCCAATATCTAATGTCACAGGCCCATCACTCTCATATAAAATAGCTGTATCACCCAATGGTGTAGAAATACCCTGAGGTCTAGTGCATACCCTCGTCCTCATCCCAGATAAAGCAACAAAAGTCCTAGCTACAAATGAGTGTGTAGCACCCGTATCAAATAAAACACGTCCATGTAAACCATGAATAGGAAACTTACCCTCAATAGTCTGAGGTGCCTGAACATCTTGTGGCTTGGGGTTATACACCCTGCCATAGTGCAACTGTTGTGGTGCCTGTCCCTGAGTCTGCGGCGGTGCCGGTAAAGCTAGATGTGTCTGTCCCTGAATCCGTGGAACCTGTGGAGCTGGTAGAGGCACTGGCACCCTCTGTCCCTGCTGCACATACTGTCCCTGTCCCTGTCCCCGTCCTGCTTTAGGACACTGCCTGGTGGTATGACCATACTCTCCACAAGTGTAACAACTACCCTGGAAAGTACCAAATGGCCTCCTCTGTCGGTTAGCCTGTGGCTGACCCTGTTTTACCTGTGGTCCCCCATTCTGTTGCCTCTGAATAGGTGCCCCATTCCGATGAGCATCTGAACCACCCTTGTGCTTCTTCCAAGGCTGTTGTCCCTGGAACTTGCCTTTGTCATTCTGCCGGTGACCATTTCCATTCCCCTTTTCAGCTGACTGATTAGTAGAGTCTTTATCACCCCGCTTCTCATCACGAGCTTGTCTAATGTCCACAGTCAACTGATACTGTTGTAGAGCGGCGTCTACCACCTGAGCATAGGTAGTATAGGCTGGACTACTTGTAATAGCTCTCTTGATAGACCACATCAGTCCCTCAACGAAACTGTTATGCTTCTTCTCCTCTGTATCCACCTCCTCCGGTGCAAAGAGAGACAAGCGTGTGAACTGCTGCTCATACTCCGCCACTGTCATGTTTCCCTGCTGCAGATTTAGAAACTCGGTCTTCATAGCTGCCCTGACTGCATAGGGAAAATATTTCTCGTCAAAGCGAGCACTGAACTCATCATTAGTCAATGTCATCCTCTCCTCTGGGGTGGTAACTGACTCCCACCACTGTAGTGCATCCCCAACTAGCTTGAATGTAGCAAGCATCTGCTTCTGAACCTCCGTGCACTGAATCAAACGAAGATGACGCTCAATGTCCTGTTTCCACTGGTGAGCTACTCTCGCATCGGTGGAGCCTGAGAACACAGGTGGACTCCCCTTTGTGAAAGAGCTCCTAGCCTTTTCCCAAGAATCCGTTTGAACCACTGGTGCTGGTAGTGGTGCCGGCTGTACCTGATGTTGATTCCGAAGTGCAGCTGTTACCCCTGCCTCTATAGCCCGAGCAATAAAGTCATTAAGGTGAGGAGGAAACTCTGGATTTCCTCCCTGATCCCAGTCTGCTGAATTTCCTCCTGCTCCTCATAAAATTGACCTTCATCCTCCTGACGCTGCCTACGGGCCGCTTCCCTTCGTTGCCGATTGTTCCGTCTGGTTCTTGCGTTAGCCATTCTGTCAACACAGAAAGACAGACATCAGCACGATTAAACCGAACCGTAAAGAATACAATGAATCCTAAACTTAAGCTCTAAACAATAGAGAACGCTACGCGGAAGTCTTATACGATAGAATCCTAGAGACACTTGAACCTGGAGTGCTCTGATACCAACTGTGATACCCCTCGGATCCGAGACACGGGTTGATCAGGCCCAGGCCCAAACCCGAGGGATGTCAAACAATTAATATGTAACCGAACACAGAATACAAGATAAAATAAGAAATAAAAAAAATAATAAGCTGGTAGAGTGCTAACTGAAAATCCTTAAGATATAAATATTGAAATCCAAAAATCCAAAACTCCATAAGTTCACAACTCGGGAATCCATCCATTGGACCCCTTATTAAAATTCTCCAAAAGATACTGAAATAATAAAAATAAAATCCAAAGCTAACATAGAGAAGATTCCTACATAATCGGAGGAATGAATAGCTGTATCTGCTCTGCACGTTCAAACTCTAACCCTGAAACTGATGAGCACCTGAAAAATAAAGAAGTGGGTCAGGCCCACATGCAAGTCCTGATCTACTACAATCCAAACAGTAATCCGATACGCAGATACATCCTAGGAAGACTCAACAATATCTAGAGTAGTCCATATATGTATATAGTACACACTATAGGACGCTCGCTAGTCCAGTAGGTTTGTCTCAGCCTGAATAGAAGGCAACATGCGAATAAGCACCCTAGGGTGGGCATGAGTACCTAAACCTACCAGGGAACAACACCTATGTCCAGTTATCCATCCTAGGCGATATACGCGCCCTAACCATGGTCATGGGACTCAAGCTCATTCCACGGCACCATATAATATATATATATAAAGTCCGTACTCCTCCTAATATACAATACCATCTATCTGTGTAGTGGTCTAATATATGTATAACAAATCCATCCTGAAATTCCAGTAGGTCATTCAATTCACAACTGATATGACACATGTAGATGATGGACTTAACCTTTATGATTAATCCATACCTTGATCCAAATTAGGTAGGACTTAATGTTGGAATTAGTCCATACCTAGTATGTCACCGTCCCATACCGGTACATACCATCCTCCAGTTAACAGTGTTGATAAAACAGTACTAGATAGTCATCAACGCAACTCCCAAATTATGCACAAACCAAATTAATCCATAATTATAAAACTTAGGCATTCAGTCCAGGCCTAGAAATTATATTCCAACCATTAAATTTGTTATTTATAAAACATAGCATTTACATCATGCAACAAGTCCACTAATTGATAAAATTAACTGATTTGTTACATCAATTTACTTCCAACCAAACATAGCTAATTCCAAGAATTTACTATGCTTAGAAAACTGTGTAAATATAATTTAGACAGTATTAAACCAAGAAATCCAAATTACAATCCGTTAAATGACAAACAAAGACATGAAATTTACTTATCCAACCATTACCATAACTGATGCAATCTATATCCCGTTTACACGATCAGTTAATTCCATCCATGCATACATTTGACTATACTTCTATATGCTTGTATCACAACATAAACATGATTAGCAGTTTAAGATTTGGCAGAGGAAGCAAAATTCCAAAATCAGTAAACAACAGAAATTTAATTTCCATTCATCCTCTTACCAGTTTTCTATCTAAGCTCGGATTAATTCCATCCTCATTATTCGAATGTAGGCATGTTCCCCAACACTTTTATAAGTTTTAAAACTTAAGTCTCAACCTTCAGTAGCTTTCAATTAATTTTAAACAAATCAAACCTCAGCCAAACGGACCACAAAATGCAATTTCTGGACAGTTTAAGAGAGAGCAGGCTCTAGAAATTAAAAGAGCCTGCTCTTCTTTTCTTCAGAGCCGGCTCTAGGCTCATTAGAGCTGGCTCCACAATATCCTAGAGCCGGCTCTACCTTCTAGGAGCCGGCTCTAAGGGTTTTTCAGAGCCTGCTCCCTTTTCCCCTTAGCAGCTTCGTCCGTTTCATCGTCTTTTCTGATTTCTGTGAGTACCAGTTCTTGTAGTAAACTTTTAGTGCATGTTCTAAGGTCTAATTCAGTTCCAGATTGATTGTAAAACAATGATATACCATCAAACTTGAATTGAAAACGAAACACTACATAACGGAGCAAGGTTACAGAACTACAGTTTCTTTACTATCTTTCTGAAACAACGAAGAACAGGTTAAATTTCATGAGTTTAAACATTAATTAAGCATGCATAAAGGTTATAATTAAGCCTTAGTTTTAATTCCTGGAGTCTTCCTAAACATGCACAGAACACAGATTAAAGAGATAGAGAAGAACAAGACTTGCCTTTGAGACTTTAGATTAAAATCTCTAACCGTCGTCTCTATCAAATCCGGCAACGTCGGTTGTGCTAAACTACCTCTACTGCTCCTAATTCAGTCCCAAACTCCTCCTTGAATCCCTCCTTTAATCTTTTAAGGTTCTCTCTGTATCTTGTCTCACAAAAGATTCAGTTGCTCTCTGTATCTCAAGGTCTCTCTGTTTTTACAGAATTTGACTTAGTTTTCTAAAACCCTAAACCCCAGTATGCTTATATTTATAGGTGAATCCTGATAACCCTAAGTCCATAAAGATATAACTCGGCCCATAAGTACCTAGGTTATAATCAACGTCGGCTACCATGTAAATTTTAAACCTAACTTACGATAAGTAAATAAATTAAAAAAAAATGAAAACAATTAATTAATAACAATTCTATCAGGTTATTAACCAAATAACACAATTTAATGAAATTAACGCCAAATAAGTAATTAAAACAGTTAACTCAAATAATCAAGCAATTTAAAAAAAAAACATTTAAATAAGACAATTAAGTCAGTCAACTAATTAAAACACTTAAACAAATAATTCCTATTAAATAATCAAATTAAAAAAATTAATTCAACTAATCACACATAATCAAATAAAATAATCATACATAATCAAATAAAATGTAGTTAAATAATAAAATAAAAAAAAAACCCAGGAATATCCTTTTAAACTAGGGGTATTACATATGCTCCATAGGATAGAACCTAATAATCCGAAATCAACAAAAAACTTTTGATACTCAACCAATTTGAAGGAGGTCTGTACTAAATGAAACAGAAACAACCCATCAATGCCACATTTTTATGATTCATTTGCACGAGGTAAAACATATCAATGTGTTGGACTTTTTCCATTTACTCAATATCATCTCAACCTTAATAGTTGATATATAATTCGACAGTTGGAGTCATACCTGTAGCTGCAGGTTTTGCATAACAAAAATTTGTAGGGTAAAAATGTTGATTCGTTTTTGAATACGAAACTTCCCATTTTCAGTGGTGCAATTTCAATTTCTAAGGTTGAATTTTTTTTTTTTTTTTTTTTTTTTTTTTTTTTTTTTTTTTTTTTTAATTTGCAGTTAGGAATGGCTAGTGCATTGGAAACTTTATGTGGGCAATCATACGGTGCAAAACAATACCCCATGCTTGGTATTTATCTTCAAAGATCATGGATTGTCTTGTTTATATGTTCAGTTTGTCTTGTACCCGTGTTCATCTTCACTGCACCGATTTTGAAAGCATTAGGCCAGGATGAAGCTATTGCAGACATGGCGGGCACAATTGCACTGTGGTTAATCCCTGTGATGTTCTCCTTCATTCCATCGTTCACCTGTCAAATGTTCTTACAAGCACAGAGCAAGAACATGATCATTGCATACTTAGCAGCATTTTCACTTGCAATACACGTCTTACTGTCTTGGCTTTTGACAGTGAAATACAAGTTTGGAATTCCTGGCGCCATGTTTTCGACAATTTTGGCATTTTGGTTACCAAATGTTGGTCAGCTTGCGTTTGTTATATGTGGGAGTTGTGGAGAAACATGGAAGGGTTTTTCAATGTTAGCCTTCAAGGATCTCTGGCCCGTCGTTAAGCTCTCTCTCTCATCTGGTGCTATGCTCTGGTGAGGCTTCTCTCAGCACTTTGCTAGTTATTATGAAACAACTGAAATGGTTCTCTCATTTCTGGTCATGGTGTAACTGTTTTGGAACTTGGGCATGAATTAGTAAAGAACCTACTTGGGCACTGGTATTGGGGCTCTTAGAGTACCCCATAATCCACCACCGGGCACATGCAGTCCCGCATGCACCAAGCAATTACCGGGAAAATTCCCTGGGGGTGGCCCCAAGGGGATTCAAACTCCCAACCTCCAAGATGTGAGGTGAGAGTTTTTACCATTAGGCTATCCCTTGGAGTTGAGGACTTGATAAGCATGTAATGGTCTGCTTTTGTTTATTTTTCGTTTTGGTAAACATAAAGAAATTGATCTATTTTTTTAGTACAAAGGTAAAGACTTAAAGCCTGAAAGTACAATTTGGGAAATTATTCTTTTCATTTAAGAATTTACATATTGCTTTCCCATTGTCCAAAATTCTGGAAATTTGATTTTAATATGTGATTTCCCTTGCAGTCTTGAACTATGGTACAACACAGTACTGGTTCTTTTAACAGGAAACTTGGACAATGCTGAGGTTGCCATTGATGCTCTCTCTATTTGGTAACTCTTTCTTCCTGCCCTCTGTTGTGTTTCTGATTTCCTTTTTCCCCTTCTATATTTGTCTTTTATTTTCATCATACAACTAATCAATTATATTTTCTTTTTTGCAGCCTTAACATCAATGGCTGGGAGATGATGATATCACTTGGTTTCTTGGCTGCAGCAGGGTAACATGTTTTATACTTTAATTTGTTGTGTACTTGTTGTCATTGTCATGATCTTGCAAACATAGTCTGATCATGCACTGCTGCTATGAAGACTATTTATTAGCAAATAGAATTAGATTACTCTTATTTATAACTTGGTCATTTTTAGTTTTTGGTGCTGGGCATAACATTGTTCTTGATGTTCAAAAGTATCAGAAACTTTATTTAATATGCATTATATTAATGCATATGCATATATTGACCAAGTCTGTACTATGTTTTTGTTAAAAACCTTCCAGTGTACGGGTCTCAAATGAGCTTGGAAGGGGGAGTTCAGCAGCGGCAAAGTTCTCAATTGTGAATGTAGTGATTACATCATTAGCCATTGGTTCTGTGCTATTCATCTTTTTCCTCTTCTTTCGGGGCCATCTAGCTTACATATTTACAACGGATGAAGATGTGGCTTCAGCAGTCGCAGATTTATCACCTCTATTGGCTCTTTCTATACTTCTGAATAGTGTTCAACCAGTTCTTTCGGGTAAGCTTCCCCTGTTTTTGGCAGATTGTATCGTGATTGCAGCAAAATAATAATCCTATAGAAGGAAATCATCAAATGATGAAGAACATGACATAGTATTTAGAGTGTCGTGAATTTGCGTTCCTATACTAATTAAGAACTATAACCAGCCAAATAAATTAACGATTATTTAGCACCAACTGTTTGTTTACAGGTGTTGCTGTTGGAGCTGGATGGCAGAGCATTGTAGCATATGTTAATATGGCATGCTATTATCTTATCGGGATTCCCATTGGAGCTGTGCTTGGTTATGTTGTCAATCTTGAAGTCAAAGTGAGTTACCATATTATGCATTAATCTTTTACAAGTCTGGAACTTGTGTTGAAAATTATTTTTGCACCGAAGGCTTCAGCCAAAGTGCATGATGCAATTTAGTGGGATCCATGTATAGCACTTCTCATATATATATATATACATATCAAATTTTTTGTTCCTATTTATATATATACGAATTCGTTTTGGAGGATGAGCTAATGAGGTGACATTGAAAGGGCTTTCGTCACATCATTAGCATAACTTCATGTTTTCGGTTGAAGAGCTGAAAACATTATCTATGTCCTTAATGCCTTTAGTTTTAGGCTCCTGTTGACAATTATTAAAAAAACTTGCATTCTTCCAAGTGATTTGTTTTGCATATATATTGGACGCCTTAATTTGAAATTATGTGTACAAAGAATGTCACTTCTCAAAGCTGCTATTTGCACCAATCTGTTTTGTAGGGTGTTTGGATTGGGATGCTGTTTGGCACATTTGTTCAGACTGTTGTACTCGTTATAATCACTTATAAAACTGACTGGGACAAACAGGTTTTTTTTTTTTTTTTTCAATTATGTTTTTTTATCAAGTTCTTAGCTAAATTTACTCAATCTAGTTCTTATAAATATGCATAAATGCAGGTATCTATGGCTAAGATACGCATTAACAAGTGGGCTGTGGCAGCTGAACCTAATGGTAACACACAAGATGCGTGACATGGAGTTAATTTATTTTGTTATTCGACCTCCTTCTTGTGTAATTTCATTCATTTTCTATTACAACATTAGTTTGAAGTTGTTCTGAATGGAGGTTTTTGTGATTGAGATTCACCTATATAGAGAATATATAGTCCGAAGAAAAGAATCAGAACAGTGGTTTTTGAAACTAGAAGTGACTTTTTACTCTATGTCACACAATTCTTCTTAACGAACGTCGCTCTTACGCTTCGAGCGTTTTCCCACTCTTTCGCTTCGCGTGCGCTCTGACTCAAATTCTCTCCATTTTTGACTTTATTCTGTTGCTCTTATGCTTCTGCTCTCGAATTTGCTCTTGTTTTCACTTTATGTGATGGGCCTGTTTGGGACGTGTTGTGTTTTGTAATGTTTTCTTTTAACAGAACAAGTGTTTTGTAATTTGGTGTTTTGAAATGAGAACAAAACATGTTTGGCGACCAAAATTTGCAGTGAGAATTTTAGAACAAAAATTAATTTTTTTTTTTTGGATGATTAAAATAAATTAATTACACAACTTGATTAGTTTGCAAAACAAGAATTATAGAGCTTGATTAGTTGTTTTAGAAAAAAAATTAAAACAAAACCCATACGCACATGTTAGCTGTTGGGGGGGGGGGGGGGGGGGGGGGGGGGGGCGCGTTGAGAGCTAAATTATATAGAAGCTACTGCTATAAAACAGAACTGGACTATTCTGCAAATCAACAGAAAATGAAGCTCTCTCTGGAACAACTCAAAGAACACACATTACCTGAGACCTCACAAATAACAAGAGGAGAACAAAGCCCTAAAAATCAGACTCTTGAACCGGCATAAATTAGAGAGAGAAGGTGAAGAGATTCTAGAGAGAGATTGAGATTTAGAGAGAGAGAGACAGAGGGGGAGAGATTTTAAGTTGAGAGATACATAAACTGAAATACAGTAGATGGGTTTTGAACTTCTGATTCTTGTAGATTTTGTAGTTTGCAGTTGCACAGAGATAGAGAGGGCAAGTTAAGAGTTGAGAACGAGAATAGAGATGGAGGTGGGTTTTGAACTTCTGATCCTTATAGATTTTGTGTTTGCAGTTGCTTAGAGAGAGAGGGAGCAAGTTCCAGAGTTGAGAACGAGAATAGAGACGGAGGCGATTGGGAGGCTGAAATGATTTGCTCTACAAATTTTTTTTTATTATCCCCGCTACAGTGAAAAAATGGAGGCTTGGAACAACATAAAACACAAAATTGTTGTTTCAGTTTTTGGGCCAAATATTGAATTTGTTTTGAAAGTGTATTGCTACTGTTAGGAACAAAACAAGGCAGGCCAAACATGTTGTGGACTCAAAATGGGCTACTGTAGCGGTCCGGGAACATTACATAACATTAGGGAACACTTCCCAAAACAGGCTCCGTATATGTTATTTGTTTGTTTTTACTTACATATTTTCGTTTTGAGTATTTTTAACTTCTATTTTTTCTTAATTTTCATTTAGTTAAGAAGGGGTCTGTTTGGCAACTACAGTTGCTTTATGTTTTTGCTTTGACTTGAAGTAAAAACAATATTTTCGCTTTAGAGTGTGTTAAATACTATTTCGAAACTTATTTAGTAACGTAAATTTGTTACAAGATTTTTTGAATAAAAAACGTGAAAGCATGCTTAGTAAAAAGTGTTGCAAGTTTGAAAATTTGAATGGCTAGTTAAAAATGTTAATTTAGAAAGAAAAAAAATATTATTTGTTTGAACAGTGTTTTGTTACAGTGCGGTTTGATGTTTTTGATTTTGATCTTAATTTTGGAAGTGCTTTAGTACTATTCAAATGACAGTAAATCTTACCAAACATGTTTCATATTTTTCTTTTGTTATAATATACTAACAAAAGCAAAAAAATATTAAATAATAACATTAGCCAAATCCTCCAAAAAATATTTTTGAAGTGCAAATAAAAATAAAAGTGAAAGTGAAAGCGAAGCCATCCTTTATGATTTAGTCACACCAAAATTTCTAGAAAACTTTGGAGTGTACAAAATTTGAATGTTAGGTGCAAATTTCGAGTGTAGAAGTCCACAACTCTCGAAATAAGTTTCTAGAAAACTTTAGAGGGTATGCATAATGCATAGCACATCTCTCTATGTACATAAAAAATAAAAAATGAGAGTCAATTTGAAGTCTTTTTCCAGACACTTAAAAAAATATATATATATATATATGAATATTGAACCAAATTCTAGGAATGTCAGTGTTCAAATGTTTGAAAAAAAAAAGTTCTCGAAAACTTTAATCATGCAAAAATCTCACTTTTTCTAAAAAAGAAATAATAATAAAAAATATTAGGGTGAGACTTGGAGGACAGGCTTACTCAAGCAACTGTAGCTCTAAGAAAAAATTTATTGTGCTTGGTTGGGTATTTGAGAAATCACGATTGTTGAAGTTTAAATTTTAAAATTTCATTTTGTACAAAACTTGGTTAGTGGGTCCTCCAACTTGAGCAACCCAAGAAATTGACCTACATATCTGGTGGTGTTGCAGGGGGAGTTTGTCCTCTATTGAATTCGAATAAAAAAGTGATTGAGTATAAATGACTGGATATATAGCATTACTCAACAATTTAAGTTTTTAGATAAATGGACAAATGCCCACCAGTTACAATTGGTATCAGAACCAGATCCAATTCTTGATTTGGTACCACGCCAAGCACCCGACTCGGAAGGCGTCCAAGTGAACCATCCGGATAAACAGGGTGGTCCGACCGCAACAAAAGCGTTGCCAATTCTGATAAAAAAAAAATATTACAAGCAAGTGTGATTGGGTTAAACATGAAAGGAAAGCATAATATATTTATAAAAAAAAACCTTAAACTTATCTAAATTTATATTGAAAGCATTTAGTACCATTACCACGAACTTAAATTTCAAGAATTCTTTGTTTAAACCAATAGTAGATAATGATGAACCTACAAAATAAATAAATAAATAAGTATAAATTACACTCCCTTGAAGTTAGGTCATATTTTACCTATATGAAGATTTTGATTTTAACTTCAAATAGAACAAATAAGAAAGGAAAAGAATCGAAAATATTTAAACTTTTTGTGCATTTGTTTAGGATAAAACGAAAAGTTTTAAGGAAATTGGGATTCCCGCAAGTAACTAATTTTCTCTAAAACGATTCGTGTATAAAAAGTTGTGAAGTTATATTTTAAATTCCTATTATACCCATAACTATTAGTTGGGTTTCCTTTATCTTTTTCTTCCTTTTTGAGAGACATTTTTTTTTTTTTTTTTTTTTTCAAATGTAAATGAACTCATGAAATTGAGGAGATCCTATTTTTAGCATTTTTTTTTTAAAAATCTATTTTTATCGCTTTATTCCCCCTTTTATATTTTGGTGGGTATTTTTTTTAAGTGCATTATATTAATTTACAATATGTATATATACATATCAACTAGGTTTTAAAATTTGGATCCTAGAGTTATTATAAGTTTTAGAGAATATATATGTTCCTTTAAAAGAATAATACAAAATATTCTATAGTTATATGATTCTAGTTGAATTCAAAATATTCCTCATAAATTTGGTTGTTATATTTAAAATTATATTGGTTTTGGTTATTCTAATATAAACAAATATCTAATGGAACAATACTAATCTTATTGGGTTTCATCAAAGTCCTTACAATTACTATATAAATTGTAATGTCCAAATCATATATATTTTGTTGTTGACAATAATATTCTGAACTTGTATGAGACACCAAGTCGTCAAATTCAGGTGACTTGGTGTCTCATACAAGTTCAGAATATTATTATCAACAATAAAATTTGATACATGAATTAATTTTACGCACATTTATTTATATTTTTAGTATTTAAAATTATAAGGACAATTTTGACAAGTACAATTATTTTCTTTTCTTTTTCATTCTATCCAAATTAACAACATAATATTTTCTCACAACTTTATGGAAATTTTTTTATACTAACCAAATGTGCCATGGAAACTTAATTTTCTTTTCTTTCACTTCCTTTCACTTTTACCTTCCACTATTTATTTCCGTCTAACCAAACGAACCCTTATACCTCAATTTACTTCTTGGCCTTGACACATGCAAATTGACCCTTTTACCCTCAATTTTTTTAATACAAAATATATCTAATCTAAAATGACAAAAAGGCCCCTTCGACTTTGTAAATGTGCAGCATTGTAACCCCAAATCCTTACTTTCTAGAAGAAAGCCCCAGTCGTTAGTAAGATTTTCCTCCCTCTCTATATAGTCTGCGGTGGTGAAATCTGAGCTGGTGGAAGCCTTTGGGCTACTTATTGAAAGACTTGCCATGTTGTACTTATTCTTTCACCAGTTTGAATAGATCGGATCATCTGCCTCCAGCGTTGGAGAATCTAACTTGCCATGTGTGTGTATATATCTATATATGTATGGCTTTTTTGTATGTGTGTGTATATATATACAGTGGCGTTCAATTGCTCCCTGGTAAGTATAGAGTAGTATACTCACTTTTAATCCTGACCTTAGAATCTAATCTACGGTAATTAATTAATCACTGTTTCCTTTTTATATTTAAGGCAATTGCTTTTTTTTATTTTTTTTATTACCATTATATATTATTAATAGGAAATGACAAAACTAAACATGTTTTTTAATGGAAACAAATTAAAACCAAATTGGTTAGGATTTTCTTTTATACTAATTCCTTCCCATCTGAATTCTCAAAGCATACCAATTAAAAAAAAAAAAGGTTAAAACATAGAAGGCCCACATCTGAATAAAAATAAAAATAATGAAATTTTCAATCCCATTAACTTTGAATTGCCACGGGGCATTCCACCTCCATCACCACCACCTCCACAGCCACGGCCACCACCTACCCCGCCACTGCCGTCACCTCCACCACTGCTGGTCACCACCTTCACCGTCACCGTCACCTACCCTGCCACTGCCGCTACCTCCACCACCGCCGGCGGTGGTGGAGGTGGCGGCAGTGACGGGGTAAGCGGCGGCGGCAATGCCAGGGTAGGTCGGCGGTGGTGGAGGTGGCGGCAGTGACGGGGTAGGCGGCGGCGGCGGCAATGCCAGGGTAGGTCGGCGGTGGTGGAGGTGGCGGCAGTGATGGGGTAGGCGGCGGCGGCAATGCCAGGGTAGGTGGTGGAGGTGGTTTATTCCCATTCTCTTTCATATTTTATATATTGAGTTACATGATTTGATGATTTTGCATGTTTTTAAATTCATTTTTATGCACACACATACAAATAAACATATTTACAACATTATTTTGTAATTGGATTATTTAGTAAGTAGTTGTTTCACAGACATAAATTAATTGTAAGGTTGAGAAGAGGACGATTGTACGTCAATTTTTCAACTGATATACTTTGAGAATTCTCTGTCTGAACCAATAGGAACGAAGGGAATTGGAAATAATTAATGTAACGATTCGAACCCATGGATCCGGATCGTTACCCGGGTCTTTACCTTGACCCCGAGGTCACCTAGGTCACACCGTCAATTTCTTGGGTCCTTAACCATCACACAAGGCAATCCAAGGTTCAAAAATGTCCTAAGTCCCAAGTTTACAAGGAGATCCAAACATACAGGTTAAAGAGAGGCTGTCAGCCGGCTGGTAGCCCCTGGTCGGTCAGCTGACAAGGCAGGACCGGTCGATCGACAAGGCAAGATCGGTAGGGCGAAACGGTGAGGAGAATTGTGTGCTCTCGGGAATTTCACTGTTTTCAACTGTCGGTCGGTTGACGATAGGGGTTCAGTCGATCGACCCTGGAGTTTTGGTCGGCTGATGAGGAGGTTCAGCCGGCCGAAACATGCTTTCCTGTGTTTCAACCCACTAGAATGGCTACTGCTTGTATTTAATAAAATCCAAACCCACATTAGACCTGTTTACAGAAATTCCCGAATTTACGGCAACCATTCATGACATTACACAATTGGGTGACATCCATAATTGATCAAAATATAATTTCTTAACCCATTTATTAGGAAATGTTACATAGTCTCAAGTTACATCAAAATTTCATTGAGAATTATAATTACAATACATAGTCAAGGTTTGCAAAATGAATGTACTTTATTACAGTTCTGAGACTTTACAAAAGGTTAGTGGATACACAAAAGGAAACAAAAGTATATTCCAAGTCTTTGTCATGCTTCTGAAGGGTTTGCGTCTCCTATTCCATTTCTCGGTCCTGAAAAATATTAAATAAGATGGGGTGAGCATAAAGCTCAGTAGGTGGTACCTAAGACACACCTCTTGTTACCCTGTGAATCCAAATAAAGAATAGATCAATAGGGAACGGGGTCATACCAAGCCGGGGAAAATACAATATACATCTCCAGTTCAAAACACATTAATGTCGTACCATGTATGCAATGTCATGCATGTCACTCCCTATTTTCAGAAAACATCTATCATTTCACAAACTGTTAATATAACCCGCCCTTTGGTGACCCTGTAGCTACACGAGAGAAGGATTGGCTACTGTCCCTGACCTTTGGTATCCCCGCAGCGTCATTTTGGGCCCAGATAACTCAACCACGCTAAGGCAATCTCCCTAATTCCCTTTAGGCTAGATTAACATATCAGTCCTTTGGTGACCTCGCGGCGACCGGGTTTTTCTCAAAATTTCTTCCCAAAATCCCCTTTTTAATTTCATTTCAAAACACTTTCCCTTTTCTTTTATGCCCAATGCCATGGATGTATGCCACATATTATCCCAATGGTATAAAAATGGGGAAATTTACACATCACAACTCAACACTTTTCTTCATAGCTATTTATAGGAAAATAACAAACATTATAGTATGGAATTTAACATCTAGACATATTCCTCACATAATATCATCAGCACATATAGGCATAGATTCCAATTACAACAATTATATAATATACAAGGCAATCAATTCAAATAAAGTATATTTTTCATACAATTTAACAAAATATACAAGCTTGCATGATTCATATACATAAATAAGTCATTTAAGAAACATTTAATTCAAATTAATCATACTTGACAGTAATTAAAGGAGGAAAACTCACAAGGGAGCAAGAAAATTGAGTATTAGAGACTCCTACCTCAAGATTGTGCAAAATCCCCAATTGTGCCCTAGAATTTCGAAATTCCTATAGTGTACCAAACACCAAATTGGTCTGATCAAATGAAAGATCTCGTCGTGGGCTTCGATTTGCCGCAAACAACACCCAAAATGATCAAGTATTGAAAGAGAGATCTAAACTTGAAGTTTAGAAGCAAAAAGAAAAAGAAAAAGTGAAGCCAAGGAAGGGAGAGAGAGGACCTGCGGGAGTGAGAGAGAGAGAATTGGGAAATCAGATCAAAATGATCTCTAACCCCTTTTTGTGCAATAGTGGTGGGTCCCACCTTTTTCTTTTTAATTTTTCTTTTTCTTTTCTTTTTAATTTACAACACATGCATATATAATTACACATTTAATTCACAATCCTCTAAATCACATTAAATAAAATAAACATAATGCAATTGGACCCAACAAAATTTCCCGCGAGCAACAATTCAGGTAGCGGGTCCCACACGGGACCGTTCGGCCCGAAAAACTGAAAAAAAATACGAAAATTGTCACCCTTACATTTTAAAGAGTACTGGACTCAATGAAATGTCCCAAACAATTTTAGGACACAACCGATACACTCCACAATGTCCGGCACAAAAAATGTGAAAAGACAAAAATACCCTTGCAGCGACAAAAATTTTCGAAAAAAGAAAATGGCGAAAATCGGAAATATCACAATTAATTTTTTTTTAATTTTTAATTGGTATGCTTTGAGAATTCGGATGGGAAGGAATTCGTATAAAAAAAAATTCTAACCAATTTAGTTTAATTTATTTCCATTAAAAACATGTCTAGTTTTGTCATTTCCTATTAATAATATATAATGGTAATAAAAAAAGAAACAATTGCCTTAAGGAAACAGTGATTAATTAATTCCCGTAGGATTAGATTCTAAGGTCAAAATTAAAAGTAAGTATACTACAGGGAGCAATTAAACGCCACTGTGTATATATATATATATATATATATATATATATATATATATATATATATAGCTGTGTTTGTAAGTGTGTGTGTATATATATATATGGCTATTTTGTATGTGTGTGTATATTATATATATATATATCTGAAAAGTACCGTGCCGGATTGACGGGTTAATTGGATGATGATGTATGAGGAGGAGGAGGAAAGTAAAAAAGGAGGTGTATGCTGGGGGTATTTTGGTCACAAAAATAGTTAATAATAGGTCAAAGGGTAATATAATTATTTAACACCTCAAAAGTATTATGGCCTACTAAAAATTGACATTTGGAATACAAGTGAAAGGTTAAATCACTCATTTAAATATAAGTGAAATTTAAAATCAAAATGTTAATTTAGTTGATAAATGATCTAATTTCAAGGGTTTAAGTGTAATTTAGCTAAAAATTAATTACAGTAAAACGAAATTTAAACAATTATTTTGATTAGATTGGTGGACCATTTAAAGTGGGAGATGGTCCAAGACTCGGACTAAAAATCTGGATCACCCATTGCAATAGATAGCGTTGTACAGGATTGGATCACAAAATATAAAGTATTTGTCGTGTTATTGAGTTGGCAAAAGACCCACAAACCCTAAATTTTCTCAAGCATATCCTTTTAAACCGATAAAGTGCGACGTGTTGTAAAGTGCGACGTTCACGTACATTGACTATCCACCATATGCCTCGTCAACATCACCTGGCAATCAAAACAAGAAGCTCTCTCACCGTCGGATTCACATACGTTAAACCGATAACCATAAAATCAACGGTCAACAATCAACCAGGCACTTTCTATAACCAACATTATCAACTTCTTTTTATTTTTTAAAATATATATATGGTTATAATTTAAAGTGTCACATTTTCAAAAAAAATAAAAATAAAAAACAGAGAGCAATTCCAATCTCTTTTGAACATTTGTATTAAAAACCCAACCCCACTTTTTCACACATGAAGAAGAAGCAATTCCGGGTACTTCTTTTTCCAATTTATCTCTCTCCCCCTTGAATTTCTAATTTAAGACTACGAATCAGATTTCGAAATTTCTCTGGTTTTCTAGGTTTTTTTTTTATTTTGTTCTTCCCTTCTTGTAAATTTCTGGGGATTTTATCTGAAATTTGGAAGAAAGGTACGGATTGAAGGGTTTATGATTTGCGGTAGTGGAAAATCATGGCAGAGGCTAACGTGTTTTCACCAGGCTATTGTTTACATCATCAGCTTCAACAATTTCCCAGAAAGTTAGATTGCAAGCCGGCCCCTGTTTCTTCTAGAATTGGGTTTCCTTCCTCTCTGAAGCTTAGACCGATAACCCTAACATCATCATCCATCAGCGATTTTCATGGCCGTAGAATCGTTGTTCAGAGTCGTCAAGCCATACCCACAAGAGGAAATTACCAACTTCTTAATCCACAGGTCTGTCGCTGCTCAATCTCTCCCTCTTTTACAGGTTTTTAGGCTAATTTTACATATATATATATTTTTGATTGGATGTATTGGGTGTTGTGAGGCTAAATATGTTTCTGATTATTAAACAAAAAGAACAAATCTTCATCCAATTATCATTTTGGTTTGTACCCATTTTTGTGATAGCTCTTTTATTTGGGGTAAGGATTATTTGGGCATGATTTTATTCCTTTGTATGATTTTCATGAACATTTGGATATTTATTTGCTGAAAAATGCATAATTTTTCATGATTGAATTATGTATATATATATATATATTTTACTTTTGGGATTTGTGTTCTTATATTTGCAATTTATTATTCATGCAGATGAGTATTGCAATTGGTAGAGCTCAAAAATGGTGGGAGAAAGGGCTTCAATCCAATATGAAAGAGATAGCGGGAGCCCAAGACTTTGTGGACTCCCTATTGAACAGTGGGGATAAACTGGTTGTTGTGGATTTCTTTTCCCCTGGCTGTGGAGGCTGCAAAGCTCTTCATCCCAAGGTATTATAGTCCCCAAATTTCAAATTTCTTGGAGATGTTTTTTTGTTAAGAAATGGTGGAAGAAATTAGTGTGTGAAATGGAAAAAGTGACTTCCTTAACATAGCCTTCTTCTTTTTATGAAATTTAAAATTGTGTATTAATGAGGATATGTTATGTTTCATTTGCAGATATGCCAAATAGCAGAGATGAACCCTGATGTGCAGTTCCTGCAGGTGAACTATGAGGAGCACAAATCCATGTGTTATACCCTTAATGTTCATGTTCTCCCTTTCTTCCGGTTCTACAGAGGGGCTCATGGTCGTCTTTGCAGCTTTAGCTGTACAAATGCCACGGTTAGTCTTGTGTTCCTCTTCTTTTCATTTTTTGATCTTGGAAACTATGTATTTTAATGCATTATAATTAATGATGAATTGTTTTGTTTTTCTGTTAAGTGTTAACCAGCCACATAATTTCTCGTTGGTGAACAAACTCATTCATGTTTACAAATATTATATCCTGATGAGTCTGCTCTGAATTTTACTTGGTTCGCGACAAACATATCTGATTGACGTGCAACCATCTATCATATCTGATAATTCAGGTTACGATATAAGTGAGCATCAAATCTCAAATTATGTTGCTTCAAAATGAGTGAATTTCTGTGTTGGATGCTTTATGCACTTAAAAAACACTTCATCTTGAAAAATAAAACAATAATGTTGAACAATACAAATTTTCATCAATATCTTTGGATTCAGATAATTGATAATTCACATATTCAGACGCATATCAGCACCCTTCTTAGTTGAGTCATTGCAATTAGTTTAAAGCACCTCTTTTCTGCCTTCTTTATTTCCTAAGATTACCCGGTTGATTTATTTGAAGTAAATTTTCATCCAGCAACTTTTAGTTAAAGTTCACTTACTTCTAAAATCCAGTGGTTATAGGATTTATGTTTGTGCCTTTCTTTTTCCTCCTTGTATCAATACTTAATTTTTGTGCTGATTCTATCACAGATCAAGAAATTCAAAGATGCATTAGCAAAGCACAGTCCAGATCGTTGCAGCCTAGGGCCACCAAAGGGGCTGGAGGAGAAAGAGCTAATTGCATTAGCTTCCAACAAAGATTTAGGTTTCAGTTACACACCAAAACCAGAGCAACTGGTGCCTGCTCACACACAACAAAAGATAATGGCAGAAGAAGCTGCCGAGGCAGTAGCAGCAGCAACACTAGCATCTTCTTCAAAATCAGAGCTACCTCTTCCACTGCCTCTTCCTCTTCCTCTTCCTCTTCTGTCAACAGCAACCGAGAGGGCTCCTCAAGACTCTGGGGAGAAGACCCTTGTCTCAGCCGGAAGATGAGAAGTTATCGCGGCCATTGTCATTCCATTTCCTCTTGTACATATTTGTGTTGTAGTATAAGATGTTCATGTGTAATGTATATGGAGAATTGAACAACTCAGTTAAAGCAAATATGTGGGAAAGTTTATAGTTGCAGGCTCCTGGATTCACTTTTTTTATAATTGGATCCAATCCTGCTAATATTGTGGTGACTTAGAAGAGTAAATGGATGTGTTCCTTTGTTGCTCATACAATCTCTCTCCCCTTGCAAACTTTATTAAGACAATGTAAGATAAAGAAAAAGAACAATTTGGACACATCTAGCTTCTCCCATTGGGGAAGGGGCTTTTTTGGACACTATGATAAAATATACTCCTTTCGATTCAAATGAAGTGTTATTGGTAATTGTAACTTATTTAATTTGGGACGGATGTATGGATTATAGTTTTAAGTAAATGTTGCTCATACAATCTCTCTCCCCTTGCAAACTTTATTAAGATATCGTAAGAAAAAGAAACAGTTTGGACTGATGTAGCTTCTCCCATTGGGGGAGGGGTTTTTTTTGATACTATGATAAAATATACTCCTTTTGTTTTAAATTAAGTGTTTTTATTAGTAATAATGACTTACTTAATTTGGTATTAAGTGTCTGACTTACTTAATTTGGTACGAAAAGAGTATGGTATATGAGTTATAATTTTAAGTAAATGTTATTATAAAAAATATAATAATACACGTGTCGAATATGAGACATGAAAACAAGTTGTATCACAATAGCCCACACCCATATTCATATATATATCTGCATCGAGAATCTTCCAATAGTCTAAAATCTAGATTTAAAATTAAAATCTAAACCTGATTCAATCTCATGCCTAGTGTTGTCATAATGTTATTGAACAAGAACATGTTGTCATAATGTTATTGACCAAGAATTAAGAAAAACAGTGGGTTGAACAATTATTGGTGGAGACTACTGTGCAAATGAAGTTCATAATTTAAAAACAATAACAGTTTCATCATTTCATAAGCTAGCATTTGGCAGGATCTGAATGATTGTTTCATAAAAAGAGGAAGAAAAATAAAATAAAAAAAATAAAATAATGGAGTCTTGGAGTACGGGTGACCACGTAGAAAGTTGAAGGGTAAGGTGGGGGAATAGATGAAGTGAAGAAAGGGTTACGTGTGTTGGAGGAGGCGAAAACGTGGCCAGCCTTCCACACTTTATTCCACTGGAAATACAGTGGGGTCCACTACATATCTTATTTATTGGAATTATTCTATAATGGCGACTCTAATCTAATCTTATAATTCTTATATAGTGGGTGTCTTGTGGTAGTCTATTCAATGATGCGTTCAATTCAAAGCTATTCTTCACCATCACCACCCATCTGTCAAGTGTCCATAATTTGTAGTAGTATAATAAGATGCGGAGGACACCATCTTCCATGCAAAAATAAGATAAGACATATAAAAAGTCTGGACTCTGGAACCAGTCAGTGCCTTTCGGAGTAAGACCCGTATCTTTTTTTTTTTTTATCTACAAAACCTTTTTTTATGCATCAACAAACCATCCATATTAACCTGTAGGCTGACACAGACTATGATCCGAAAGCGTGGATCTTAAATAATTTTAAAAAATACTTATGTCATGTTTGGCCAAAAAATTGAATTTACATATAAAATTATACTCCTTCCAATTGAAATCAATTCTAAAGCACGATTCTGTGCTTCTAAATATAATATAACTATTTTTAAAGTTAATATTACATTTTCGAAATACAGTTATTGCACTATTGTATTTTAATATAATTTATATGATACTTACACTAGGTGCAGTCAACTGTCAAACTTACTTATTTTAATTAGTTCATTTATGTAGCAAATAAAAGAGTATGACCTTCGATTTATTTATATTGTGCATAAATAATCAATTAAAAACTTTACATAACTTTCGATTAACTAATTCACTACAACAAATCATTACTCTTTGTTTTATGAATGTTATATTTTCGAATTAAACGTGTTCCGTTTTCAAAGTTAGAGCTTTTTTCTTCAAAATCAACAACAATCTCAAACCGTTCAATGCCACTCGTCATCTCATTGGTGGTAGAAAGTGGTCTACATCAAAATATATTATTATTCTACTTGCACAATTTCTCTGTGCATTAAAAGTGGTGTGGGTGCAAACCTAAAATGAAGTGGTACCAATTTTACACCAATGTAATTCCATTCGGGTTCCAACTAGTGGTACAACCATGTTGTACTAAAAAAGTGTTGCGAAGGCCGTACTGGTACGAAACTAAAATGTATATTTCACATTTAAATTCCAGTGCAATTCATCTCTACATTTGTAAATTAAAAGCGATACAATAGGTTTTTTTAAATGTGGGTTCCATTTCAATACATGAGTAAATATATTTAACCCTCGATATTATGATTCTTAGTTGCGATGAAGATGCCTAGAATAAAATATAAATAAATGTATCATATGATTTTAATAATGAATATATTTGGCATACATGAAGTCATGGATATCTCTCTAAATGTAACAGTATTTTATAGCAACCTAGCAAGGATACATAGCATTTAAATTCGAGTCCTCTACCAAGCCTTCTAGTTTCGTCGACTAACCTGGTGCTGTAGCTGTGGAACCGGCTGTAGTATCCCCAGTTTGGTACCCTGGGGTGGGTCCGAAGGGCCCTGCCTCATGAAGTTCTTGGTTATATATAGCATGCCATTTGAAAGACAGAAAAAACACAATTGATAAAATCACAAACAAATAGCATACTGCATTCGTAGCAAATACATGTAATAAGCTTCCTTTTGTTGCAAGTGAATGGCATGCAAAGGGTGTGTAGTCCATTTGAATTTCTTATTCTCAAGCTACTCACACAAATACGGAGATCTAGTCAAATTAAACTTGCAAAAATGCATATAGAAGAACAAATGAATTGTGTTAGTTTGATTTATAAAATAAAACATAAAAGAAAGGAAATATAATGTTTTCATGGTGGTTCTTTCTCTAAGCTGCAAAATTGGTGGGAGCTCCTAAATTGACTTGCATTTATGCTTGTAAAGAACATTGTTAGGGCAACTGTGACAGTCCCACAAGAAATTATACAGAAATTTTCTCTTGCATATGCAGCATTACGGGGCACAGCGGAAGCGAACAAGCAGCACAATCACGGAACAAAACACAATATATATATGGTTAACCCTAACTTTGTGCTACGTCCACGGATGAGGAGATATTCCAGAACAATCACAATCCAAGCAAACACAAATCCTAAAAGTACATATAACACTTGATTCAATAAGTAAACTTAGGCCTACCCAGTGTGCTCTCCCCTTTGAACTGGATACCAATGGACCACATGGCAATTGATTGCCCATCAGCTGTGTTCAATGTAAAAAAGATGAGTGAGTAAATTTGCAGTGATATATAACCTAAACTATATCTAAACAAGAGACATATTTGACAAAGACCACATGATTGTGAAATGTTGAAACTTGAAAGGCATCTAACTATATTTAGCTAAAGTTTATTGGATGGGTGGGAACCCATTTTTTGTGGCTTTGAGTGGGAAAGAATATATAAAAAAATTCTTGACTCAAGAACACCACCCTTTAGCTTTATAGTTTTGAGTTAAGATTCTTACATTCCATTCCACCCAGAATCTTTCCACTTTTCCCCCAAAGGAATTGCATTCCGTGGTCATTACTTCGTTCTTAGTTCAGCCAATCCCATTGGTCAACAGATCAGCGCCAATAAGGATCGTACACGTGTTTCTCCCTAATGATTTTGACCAGCAGTCCATAAAACACGATTCTCATATAAATGTGTTACTCTTATGTAAGCTTCATCTTGTCCTCAAAAGTAATGTCATTATAACAGAACAAAGAGTCTCAAGAGGAAATAACACAGAGTACAAGAAAGAGCAACTACAAATGTTCTCTCTCCTAAAGTGGAGAATAATTTGCACAGGAAGAAAGTAACAGCAGATAGATACGCGCGCAGAGAGAATAACAATTGGGGGGCATTACGGCAATATCAAGGAAAGGCAAGTACTTTCCATGTACCATTACTGGAAAAGATCAATATTGGGTCCTAAAGAGACATGAAATGAAAGTAATAGCAAGAAGCTTATTCTATGACCCAAGTAAAAACATCAAAAGCTTTCTCAACTCACCAATCAAGAACCAAATGTATTTGTTTGTTAAAGAAAAAGGTGCAAGACAAGGTAAGGAAAGTAGCAGCAATTATGTTATCATAAATAGACCATTATCAATCACTATGGATGCAAAATCAACCTTAACATGTGATGATACTGGGGTACTTATAGAACTTATAATTCTTTTTACATGTCAAGCTCCCAAAAAAGCATTGGGTATTCGTGAATATTGCACTTTCACAGAGCACAAAGCAGGGTTTAGACAACTTTTCCTCTATAACCCTTAAACATTAGGATTAGCACCTTTTGTCATTTATCGAGATGCGCTACAAACAATATGCACACTGCTAAAAATAAGCTATCATAGTTATAAGAATGTAGACAATAAAATTAATTTAGGAAATTTTCACTGCATAAGTTTCCTACATCATACAATTAGAATATTTTTGTTTTTGCAATCAAATATCATCAAACAATTTTTAAAGTCCTATGTCGGATCCATGATTTTCTGATCCACAATGTGATGACAATACACAGGAGGTCTCGAATATCAGTAGTCATTTAATGTCATAACTTGCAAGGCACAAAATCAAGCACTTGGTGCAATTTATTCCCATCCACATCCCAGCAAGCTATTAAGGAATTCTGCTTTACCACTTTACCTAAAGGTTTCAATAGATTCTTCCAAACTGCAAAAAATTAAAAAATAAAATCCTGATATATCAGAATCAATTGATCTTCCTAAAAAGTTCAGTTGGAGTATTATATATGAAATTCATAGGGAAGGAATTTAACTTACTTTACACACACGCGAAAAAAAGTCTAACGATTTATATGCAGCCTTGAAATACTTGTTTTAGACAATAACAGGCACCCCTTAAATGGGGCATGTGTAAATCTGTAGGTCCTCATTATTAGCAAGTTCTAGTTTTCAATCTTGTTGGATGATGTAAGTTGGCAGATAACTCCATTGCTTATATGAATTTAATCGGTATTAGTTGTTGATCATTTTTAGGCATTATTCTTTGTATTGTGTTTGCATTAGATACACACATATATACGAAAGAATACACATACAGCAAGAAGGGTATGTATATCGGTATATCCATAATAGAGTATCTGAATCTAACAGATGCTCAAGTCAAGGGAAGGGCAAGTGGTCCTCTCCAGGCCAAGATTGTATGCCTTTCATCAAATGCAAGTATTTAAGCAAGTACAATCCGTTTCCTTTATAGCTTTTAAAAGGTCCCAGCAGTTTCAGATTCGTCGATGCAGGGCCTTCAAAGCTGTAAAAAGAATGAAAAAGATTTGGTCCCTCTTCCATTTTAAACTGTGAGATGAATAAGTACCAAACTTAGTGAGGAGACAAAATAGAATGTATTCCTTATTCCATTTTGAGCCTTCGAACACTCCCAACGAGGAGCATCCAACCACCACTTATATCTTTTGCTTGAATGTATCTAATTCCAAGTTTTCAGATGCTCAAGTTCCTTTGCATTTATTCAGTTACATTTTTGTTTATCTCCACCTGCATTCTTTAATACAAATAGCATGAAACTAATCCTCATTTGCATTATCATTTAACTAATATGCACGTTTTCAAATTGCAAGTGAAAAAATAACAAGTGCAAGGTGAATGACAAAGAAATAGAGTTCCAATAATTTTCCATGAGGAAAAGAGGGTGCATTGAAGGTTTCAATTGCCATGGAGATAGTGGATTCCCCTAATCAAAGTTAGAAATTGTTCTCCTATATCTGGGAATATGATTCCTACTTTTCTAGACAATGAATACGAATGCACATAAATAGATACTTGTGAATCTATTCTAGTATTTATTTTAAGGTGTGAAGTGTTTCAGGAAGTTATAGTGCAGAAGAATTCAAATGGCCAGTGTTGTCTGAGAATGGAAATTAAAGTTGCTGGACAAGGCCCACAGGCGCGTAAAACTGGAAGGACAAGATCTCTTTTTGAGTCACTGTCAAGATTGGAGTGGGCTGGGTGCTGTGTTGCATCTGTCCAAGATTCTATCCCTTGCTTGGACCCTAGACCCCCTCCCTCCCACTCACCACCCTCTTACATTTGCTTTATAAGGACATCCATGAGCACACCTTTAGTTATGTGAGAATTTTGTCAATGAAGAAAGGAGATAGATAAGAGCAGTGAGCGACGGGTTTCATACACAAAGTACCAGAAGCCAGGGCTGTACTGTGAAGAATACAGAAGAATCAAATTTCACTTTTCAAGAGTCAGCAGATCGTATCGATAGACGGTGGAACTCATCAGGTAAAAACACATATATTTATATGAATAAGATTGTATAAAATTTACGTGATCCTGTGAAGCTAATACAAATTGTTCGTTCATTTTGAAGACGGATGTATCATCATCACAATCATCAAGGAAAGGACATCCACCCTTCCTCAAGAATGTCCTTCCCTCCAGAAAGGCATTTGTTCCTGCAAGGTGTGAATGGTCCAGGAGATTCAGGACTTGTCCTTTCAACAGATGCTAAGCCTAGACTGAAATGGACACCGGACCTCCATGAACGGTTCATAGAAGCAGTCAATCAGCTTGGAGGAGCAGATAGTAAGTGCATACAACACTTTGTGGTCAATAAGCAGTGAAAAAAAATTAAAAAAAAAAAAAACAGTTTTAAGCTAATTGAAGCATCTCATCTTTTGTTGCAGAGGCTACTCCAAAATCAGTTTTGAAACTAATGGGAATTCCAGGACTTACCTTATACCACTTAAAGAGTCATCTTCAGGTAAACAACTCAGACCACACCATGCCAATGTTTCATCAGAATTCAGGTCTTCTCTGGTATGGCATCTTCAGTGCATGAGTCACCAATTACAGTACCAAATCAAGGCAATGATTAGCAGTTCCGCCATTTTGCATAAGCAAATAAGTATCTTGTTCCACACCTTGGTCTGTCATGCTGTAATTGGTAGGCAACTGAAGAGGTCGGAAACACCATGCTTTAGAAGAGAAAATCTCCTACAATGAACTACAGAGACCCTTGTTGTGTTGCATGGCTTGGTGGGTTGGGGGTGCGGGAGGGGGGCATTGTCATATTGTAAGCCACACACTAACTCCACCTTTTGGCTGGCAGAAATACAGGCTCAGCAAGAATCTCCACGGACCAGCTAGTGCAAGCAACAAAACTGGTAAGTTCAAAACTCACCAAATCAGAAATTCTCAAATACTACACCAATTACTAGCAGTGGACTACAAAAATAACTCATCAGGTTTAGAAATGGTTGCAACAGCAGGAAGCAGGATGTCTGAGGGAAATGAAATTCATAGAAGCAATTCAAGCATTGAACCTCAAACAAATAAGTAAAGACACGACCATTTCATATTCTTTCTGTTCATTCATCCATTACTTACTTTGCAAATGATTTCCAAATTATATTTTCCTCTAACTATGGGATCTTATTTTCAGAACCTTATATGTAACCGAAGCAATACAGATGCAAATTGAAGTGCAGAGGAGACTCCATGAACAGCTTGAGGTATAAGAAAAAAACTAGAAATTTACCATGCATAATATTATTAAATGGCCTTTCCAATACTATTAACAAAATATTCACAGGTATTTATGCATACAAGATGTCAATGTACTTTCAGTATGCATGTAGTATTTCTATATGCTTAATGTAGTTCTTATTCCTGAACATGATAAAAAAAAATAATAATAATAAAATCTTTATTACCCCAGATGTATAACTAAAAACTTTTAATCATTGAAAAAAGTATATATATATATATATATATATATATATATATCTTCAGCAATGAATTTTTGAGTTTGAAATTTTTTTCCGTAAATAATTTTGAGTTTGAAATTGGCGGAGATTTATTTTTTCATAAATATTTTTATTCAACTGAAAAAAACATAAAGTAAATCCAAAAGATTGGTCGTTACAAGAACTGTACATAAATATAGTATTTACAGTATTGAATCATTTTTAAAAGTCAGAAAGTGTCACAAGCACCTTTATTTTTCAAAGGATACATTTCATTACATATCTAGGAACAAATGACCAATTTAATACCTTCAGAGATTGAACTTCTCCAGTACTTTAATATTGGTGAAATTTGTATGTACTTTGACTGCTACAACACGCACCGTTATCTTATTCCTGTCTTTGTTCCTTCTGAAGTTGGTAATGAATTTTCCCAGCTACTTCTTCAATAAAAATCTGTTCTGAAATGAAACAGGTACAACGACACTTGCAGCTCCGAATAGAGGCACAAGCAAAATATCTACAGGCGGTACTCGAAAAGGCCCAGGAGACCCTTGGAAGACAGGACTTGGGTCAGGTAGGACTGGAGACTGCCAAGGTTCAGCTATCTGAATTGGTGTCCAAAGTATCCACCAAGTGCCTGAATTCAGCATTTCCAGGGCTGCAAGAACTTCCGGTTATGTGGCCACAACAAACACAGACAACCCCGCCCACAGATTGTTCAATGGAGAGCTGTTTGACCTCCTGTGAAGGTACTCAAAGGGACCGAGAGATACACAACCGTGGGATGGGGTTAAGATCTTTAAATGGTAGTGCACCCTTGGAGTCAAAGGAGATTGACAATGAAACTAAGTTGCAGCTTACTGAACTTGAATGGTGTGAAGATGTGAATGAGAACATAAATTATGTTTCGTCAATGGCCAAGGATACACACAGAACATTCCCAGTAGAAACAAACTCTGGAGAATTATCGATTAGCATTGGACTTCAGGGAGGACAAGAAAATAGCACCAGCCATTCAGAAGGAAGATTTACAGCAAAGGGTAAGGATTTATACTTCCTTGCCCAAACCACCAACAGGGAACATTCAGCTCAACTAGAGAAAGAGAAGAAGCTATCCCAAGGGTATAAAATGCCTAATTTTGCACCAAAATTGGACTTAAATGCCCGTTACGAAAATAACGCTGCTTCAGGTTGCAACCATTTTGACTTGAATGGTTCCAGTTGGAACTGAGAATGTAAATTGTCAAAAAAAAAAAAATGAAGTAGTAAAATGAGACTAGATCAAGGGGAACACATACTCCAATTGTGATTTCGCTTCAGAGAAGGAAATTTTCAGCAAAGGAACCTCCTTCTCTCTCATCAAAACCAGGAGCATAATATGTTGAAATAACACGAGTCAATTGGATTTAAATATTCCCACGAGATGCAATTTCACTATATTGTACTTCATTTAGAGTTTTAATGAATACAATCGGAAAATATTGTATGGATATTTTCTTTGACGTATAATCATGCTAAAAAATCATAAAAACCCAATTGTTACGGTAAAAATCTAGGTTAAAGCAGAAAATATTCTAGCAACCAAGCACAGGGAGAGAAACCAGCATGTCTAAGATACTCTTGGCCACTATATGTCCTGAACTACTCCAAGAGAACTATAGATTTTTTAATGAATCCTTGTCCAGCTTAAATCAGAAGTTTTTTTTCAAGTATCAACTAAAAACCTGGTTGTCTATGGACTTTTAAACAATACAAGAAGGTGAATAGTTGAAATTTTTGTGAATTAATAAAAAACATTAAAACAAAAACAAATTTGTACAAAATAAAACAGCTCAAGAAAGAAAATATAAAAAGAAAAGCATCCAGAGTATGTAATTTAGTCTCGAAGAGTTGTTTTATAGTAGAAAGAAGCCTTAACTATTTTTTTACATAAATTCTTGAGATGGTGCATAGGAAGTGCTTGGCATTGAAGAAAACTTGACTGGTCTGATTAAAGAACTTGCAGTTCCTGTTGGACAAGTACCGCAAACCAAGAACACAATCAAACAATTTGACAGAACCAAGAACAGAAGATGACAACAGGAACTGAAGATGACAAGTTTTAGCCCCAAACCCCTCTGTCTCTTAACACTCTCCACCTGGGGCGCGGCTCTCAGTGTCATGTTATCTTTTAACACACTCCAAACTCTAAACGCCTACCAGAGAACTCTAAAAGCCTACAAGAGAGTTCTAAAACAGGATCCACGGCCCACAAGATAGCAAAAGTCGAAATAAAATTCAGACCACAACATCACAGTTATAGAAAGATTTTGAGAAATGAGGATTCTCAATCCATTTAGATAAAAAATTCTCAATCTCATATTCATATTTTGAGACTCATATTCATATTGTTGTATAAAAAAGGAACAAAAAAAAAAAAGGTTAATAATCAAGTAACGGAAACAGATAACAAGTATGCAATGTTGGAAGAAATGCATCTTTTACAACTATGATACATTTACAAAATATAACAAATAAATAACTTTTCAGGTAATGGTGATATTGAATAGTTATCATGAATCTTTATTATTGAATGACCTTTTCAGTTACAACCCCTTACCCAAAAACGTTGGAGACTTGATGCAGCTCTTCACTGGATTCAAAGATAAGCTACTCTTTGTGCCCCTTTCACCTGTACTAACTTGAGATCGAGCCTTGGTCCATACGGTGTATCTGCTCAAGGTTGCAATTTAACTCTCAAATGTTCACCAACACTTCACACTCTTAACTCGTTCAAACTCCTTTTACTAAAAAATGTAGGCAAAAGTGCAAAAAAACCCCTGAACTATTACAAATCGGCATTTTACCTCTTAGATTACAAAAATGAACAAGTCAGTACCACAACTATCAAAAATCGTGCAAATTAACCCCTGACACTCAATTCTGGCCACTTTCCGGCCCACAAGATCAGCACGTGACTGCCCTTTTCTTTTAATTCCGAAATTACCCTTGAATATTACAGTTGTAGCCCTCTGCTGTTAAATGACACTCAATTGTTTGTTTTTAAGGTAAGATATGCATATATAAGTATATATGTAAATATATATATATGTGTGTGTGTTTTTTCTATATATATATATATATATATATATATATATATATATATTATCATATATAATGTAGTATACTGGACAATACACATCTCTATATATATGTTTACTATTAATTTTATTTTTTTAAATTATCAAATTTAATGTTATATTTACTGGAACATATATATGTGTGTGTGTGTGTTTATTTACTCTTTCTAATTTATTATTTTGGTTGTTGTCGAGATATAATCTACTAATTCAGATAGCTTGCCAATGGTGTTTGGTTATTCGGAGTAGGGGACAAGGTTTTCCTATTGTTGTTTCTTCCATTACAAAGGACACAACTTTATATTCTTTGCGTAACCCAGACGAGGTGAATAAATTCTTATTACGCCTAGTGAGGTGGAGCAAAAATTATTGTTTCGGCAATTAAATTGCCTAGATTTCGAGAGAGACTAATAAAGAAAATGGTGCATCAGTCCATCAGCCCTTGGTGATCCTGTGCCCATTATAATTGCTATGTATACTTAAGTTGCCTCCATATTTGGATTCAACTTTCGTAACACAGAGCATGATATGAAATAGAGGAGTGCTAACTGGATGGAAGTTGATTACTCATGCACAATCTAGTACATAGAATCAAGACAGTATAGAGGTAGACCACTTTTCAGAGGCTGAGCATTTTTGAGCCGAAAAAGGAGACTTTCTTTCTCTTTTTTTTTGGAATGAAAAAACCCCCCGGCTTGAATTTTTCTCTCATGTAGTATGATTTGTGCTTCATTTAATAAAAGAAAATCCCGTTGGTATATTTATCTCTCTCTGTGTGTGTGTGTGTTATGTATATGTCATTTTCTAATAGATATTTGATGCAAGGGTAACATGTTTGTTGTTCCAATGGCAATGTTTCAGTTGTATGGAGGTGTCGATGGGGTAATTGTCACCGGCCACGAGGCCGGGAAGAGAGATGTTGATGACCATGCCGGAGGTGTCACAGGCAATGCCTTCCCAGGCTGTGCAGCAATTAGAAGAAGGTGTGCATGAATTAAGCATTTTAAAAGAGTCGTCGGTGATTTAGTGTTTGAATTGGAGTAATGCTTCGTGGTCTACTGTATGGCATGCTTGGGATGGAAATGGTGAAAGGAAAGGTGAGAAGAAGAGGAGGAATATGAGTGAGAAAGCATGTTTGTGATTGAAAACCTCCATTGAAGCTTGGAGTTTGGACGTGAGAGTTAAAACAGAGGTCTTGACTATTTAAAGGTATAAATCAACCAGATATTTAGGATTTATTATTATTTCCTAATGTGTTGCTGATGGTGGCGGTGGCAATCGTGTACGTATATAGAGAGAGAAAGTGAGTGGAGAGAGAGAGGGGGTGAGGTGGATGGAGAGAGGATGAGATGCATTTGGGTTCTCTTTCTACAAGCATTATAAAGATAGGCTCATGAGATGCAAGGTCTCTAATGGTGGGTAGTGGGTGGCAGTGATGGTGGTGGGTGGTTGGAGTGGCAGAGTTGTGAGAAAAGGTGGTGGTGCTATAGAGAGAGAAAAAGTGGGAATGGAGGCATGGTGATGATACCGATGTGTATATATACATGTATATATATATATATATACATGCGGCTAGAGAAGATGAGTTGCAGGTGGAGGTCGACGACGGCAGTTACAAATCGGCATTTTAGAGAGAAAAGATGAGTTGCTGATGGTGGTGGTGGCGGTCGTGTATGCATATAGAAAGAGAAAGTGAGTGGAGAGAGAGAGGGGGTGAGGTGGATGGAGAGAGGATGAGATGCATTTTGGTAAAATAATAAAAAATTGTTGAGGGGCATTAAGGGTATTTCACGCTGATTATTTATTTTGGTATTTTTTTTTTCTTAATTACAATGGGTAGTTTTATAAATCTACAATGAAGTTGCCCAAAAAGTTGCCGGAATCGACTTTTAGGGGTTAATTTGAACGATTTAGATAGTTGTTATACTGACTTGTTCATTTTTGTAGTTTAAGGGGGTAAAATGGCGATTCCTGATAGTTCAGGGGGGTTTTTTGCATTTTTGCCAAAAATGTATAACAATAATTCTAACCACTTTATTCTTTAGCGAGAAGGAGGCGATTGCAATTCTAACACTAGTTTTCCAAATGGCGCTAGGTTGAACAGCAAAGTAGCAAAATTGCAATTTAGGGTCTGCCAAAACTATAGTTACGACTTGGCCCAATTTTACACATTTTTGGACAATTGAGTACATAGGAAAGGGTGGATATCAATCTTAAGAGAGAGAGAGAGAGAAAGGTGCTTCCCCAAAAATAACGAACCCCAGCGCGGCGCAGACTGCACCAAAGAATGCTTACCTGGTACTTTTCGGGAAAAAAAAAAAGAGAGAGAGAGAGAGTGGAGGTATTTTCTTGTTTTGTAAAACATGTCTGATTTAGGATGTGAAATTTCTTTTTTTTTTTTTTTAGGGTTTTTAAACTTTTTGATGTGTTGTAACTGACTTTTGTCCTAAAGTTGATGGTTTTGATCTTTGATTGAGTAAACTAAACGATTGCCCTTCATCAACATTCTTTATTGAGGGGTCAATCTCATGATTTGGAAGTATTAAAGGCGCCTTAATAAGTTTGATCTTATTAAATAGGGCTTATTTTCTTGGAAGGTATTGGTATTGTTATGATTGTGATATGTGCGATGTTTGTTAACCATTGATCATTCTATCGTGGTTTAGATGCATCAATCACTCATGGATTGCGGCTAGCAATAACTTTTTGTGTGTCTTAATTAAGCTTTGATCCATCGATCTATGATAAAATGTCATTAAATTATAATTTTCACAATATTTGAGATAAATTTGTAATTTTATATAAGATACTTTCAACTCTTAAAATATGTTTACAATGTATGTCACATTTTTTATGTGTAAAAAATATTCTAAAGTTTTAATTTGGTGCAAATATACTCTTTGAATAAATTTAAATTCTAAGTTAACTAAATTGACAATGAACAAGTAAATATAAAAATATAAAATAAAAATAAAAGTATAAAAGAAAAGTAATGATAAAAATAAAAAATAAAAAACAAAAATAAATTGCAAACTCAAAAAATAAATATGCTCCAAACTCTAAAAATCAGTGTACACTGATTTTGGGATTTTTATTTTTAGTTTTTTCTAACAATGTTGGTATGGAAAATAAAATAAAATGAAGAAAAAAATTTTTAGTAGAAAATAGTTAATTAAAATCTCAAAAAATTCAAATCCTTATTTCACAAATTTTCAAAGTTAAAAAAAAAAAAAAGAAGAAGGTTTAGAGATATATATAGAGAAAAAAGTTTCAAAAATATATGTATAAGGTAATGTGCACATAACACCCATATATTATTATATTAGTAGCATATATACCCTTTGGGTATTTTCGGAATAGTAAAAGGGCAAAACATGTATTACAACACTAATTTATATCAGATTTCTGATTGAGGGATATTTTTGCACAATATGAAAAAATTAACTTTGTTTTTTACACACTTTTTCAAATAAGAACAAAAATGCTCAGCAAAATATATTTATAAATATTTTCTGCAGATGTCCCAATTTTAAAACTGTGACATTTGAAATTCCATCAAATTCAATTTTAGTTTTCATTTATCCATTCCAAATAATAGTATTCCCATTTGAAATTACTCCACATAAATTCAATTTCGGTAACCCATTTATAACAGGGGAGATCCATTTTAATTTTAGTACACGTGTCACTTTGGTAAATTACAAGACGCCTTATTAACTCATTCAACACAAGGATATTTTGGTAAATTTGTATTTTAGGAAAAGTTTGTGTTTGGAAGCATCGGTCGTGCCATCACATATAGTTGTCGTGAGTGAACCAAACGCCTAATTTGTCATTGATGGGGATAACGTTGAAAGCGTACGCGGCGAATTGGAGCAGACATCAACAGCACTGAATTCAATTATATATTTTACAGTCTCCCTCCAGTCCCACAGTTGCATTACCAAACCGTTCTTCTGTCTCAGTGAACTGACCCTGTAATCTCTCTCTCTGCCCATCGTTGCAACTAGAAGAAAAGCCAGAGACGAACAGAATACCCTCTAGGGTTTGGATGATCTCTCTCTCTCCCCATTCTTCATTTTCAGTTCCACAATGGGAGCTAGTCGGAAGCTACAGGGCGAGATTGATAGAGTTCTGAAGAAGGTTCAGGAGGGCGTCGATCTTTTCGGCAGCATCTGGAACAAGGTTTTCTTCTTTTTAACTACTACCATTTCAGTCGTCTTCTTCAATTTGTTTTGAAGAATGTTTCGTGTTCAATTTTGCATGATTTTTGTTGGTGAACTTCAGGTTTACGACACTGACAATGCAAATCAGAAGGAAAAGTTTGAGGCCGATTTGAAGAAGGAGATCAAGAAACTTCAAAGGTACAGAGATCAGATCAAAACATGGATTCAATCGAGCGAGATCAAGGATAAGAAGGTCAGTGTCCTAATTTTCCATTTTACTTGCTTCCCTCGTTTCTCTTTGTTTTTTTCCCCTTTTTTTAATATATATTTTTTCTCTGGGATTGCTTTAGGAGGTTAAAAGACACAATGTTGGATGGACTCTTCAGTCATTTTTTACTTGTTAGCTGGTTTTCTTACTCATTCATTTTTATCACTATCTTCAATATGTTCAGTTCAATCTTATGCAGAAACGCATTTCTTGAATATGTTTTAACTTTTATTTTTATATCGAGTATGTTGGAGTGGATTTGAGCATCCTGAAGCTTTTTGTGATCTGCAGCCAAGAAACCATTTAGTTTTTAAAATTCAACATAGCACCTTTTGGTATTCATGAAACTAAGAAGAAGTCATACATGTAAGACTCAAATGAGAGAATATGAAAAATAATTTGCCATACAATGTGGCAATGTCCATGCAGTGCTAGATTTCTGCAGTAGAATCAGATTAATTCAGTGGATTTAGAAAAAGGGTTTGAGGGACGCTCTCAAAAAGGATTTTTGGGAGGGTGGACTTGAGACATACCTAACCTTTGAATTTTACAAAGTGGCTGCTCTAAGGATTTAAGTTTTTAACTAGTACATATTATATGTTAAAATGATATAATGGCTGCATTAAAGCAATTTGATTGCTTCCACAGTGCTTATATGAGTTCAATATATTGCTTTAGATTGTTGTGACAGCATCAAAGCCACTCCCCCCCCCCCCCCCCCCCCCCCCCCCCCCCTTTTTTTTGTTTTTTGTGAGTGTGTGTGTGTGTGTTTTTTTTTTTTTAAATTTTTGGGAGACCATTGTGGTTTCGTGGTATTGCCATTTCATCTTTTGCATCCAAATACTTTTTAAATGTACAATGGAATAATCTACCTTCCATGGGACACCTAAAACCTCTTATAAGAATATGTCAAGTACTCGGAAAAGCATGCAAAATGTTAAGTACCTGCAAAATCCAATATTGCGAAAAGCAATGTCAATAATTTTAAAGTAATGTTTTCCAAGATTGAATAAGCATTTCCCATGTCATAGTGATGGACTACAGCAATGATAAAAAATCTCGAAGCATCAGCTTCCAAAAATAATTATTTCTATATATTTTCTAAGGGTTGCAACAAAAGGTTAGAGTATAGACTGGCTAGTATCCTACCAATCAAATATTTGGATTGCAGATCTGAAATGTGATAAGTTTTCACTTAGTATGTAGACATCATATAAGGAGAATTATTATTTTTTTGTTCCTTCTATTCTTCTGAAAATTCCCTGTACTTAGTGTCCCCTTGACTTTTCCAAATAAAACGGCATTAGACATGCTTACATACATATAAGTGGTGGTTGCATGGTACTTGGAATTTGCCATATCATCTGCCAATCCCACAAATTCTCTCTGTAAAACTGACACATAAAGTCAAAATTCTCAAGTGAGCTATTTGTAACTAAAAGAAAAAACTGCAGTACCTGGTGTATATCACACCTTCGCCGGGTGCTAGGATGGGAAGACTAGAAACAGAACTAAATTTGAGCATTATTTCGCACAATGTGGATGCTCTAAAATTCAAATCTGCAACCTCACTCTTGTCAGTCCTAGCTTGTACCATGGCATCAAGTAATGTCTAAATAAATTATACGAGTTTTCACCATTTCATCAAGCATGTCTGTTGCAAGTGCCATACCTCTGCTACCAAATTTATTGGATTAAAACATAGTTTATTTCTTTTTAACCTAGTTTAAGATATCTCTTTCAAGGTTTGAAGACTCTTGAGTTGGCTACATCTCTGTTTGAAAAATCCTTACAAGTCTTGGTAACTTCAAGTTCCCACCAAGTGATATATTTAAGACTACCACCATCAAGTCACATATACTTTTAGGCAATGCATTGTACCTTGTTCCTTTTCCATGTAGGATTGTTGACTTTATAACTGCTAGTACTTAGTTGGAATTAACACCACAACAATTTGTAGATTTTGGCCCTCTATTTGAGGGAACTGGAACAATGTGCAAGTGATATTAGCATATAATGGTTGTTGTTTGCTGACTGTTTTATGGTGCATGATAGACTCTTCTAATACTTTTAGTGCTGTTTATTTATTTATTTTTATTTTATTTTTTTATATTTTTGAATTTTGAATTTTGAATTTTAACTCTTCTTATGAATGTTCTGAATTTTAAATATTTATAATTTATGTATATGTTTAATGGGTTTTAATCATGCAGATTTTTATACATTTTTATCATCAATGGTTTTATTTTCTGAATTTTTATGTATGTATTTTTTTTCTTACCAAATATGAAACATATGTATATCTTTTATGAAATAGGTGCTCATTGTTTGGTGCAATGGTAAAGGCTCTAGTTGAAAAGTATGAGAACGTAGGTTAGAGTACGAGAGTAGTCACTTTGTGAAAAATTAAAGGCCTGTCTCCAATCTACCCAGCACTTTTTTGTCATTTATTAACATTCTTTGTTAAGCAATACACTAACATGGACTAGCAGTCAACATGATGAGAGCATAACCATGTTTGTGGCTCATATATTGACCTACTACAGTAACTTATTTCCATCACCATTTACATATATAATTAATTGTGCCTCAATGAGTTGTTATTGTTTTGCGGTACTAACTTTGTGGTCTGGGTCAATGGAGAGAATTTTAGATGGTATTAGTTCATATTTTGCAAACATAAGGTCCTTAAAGAATCTAGAAACTACAATATGGTTGTGAACTTGCAATATTTCTTTTGTTGTGATAGAGTTCTAATGGGCTATATACTTATATGTACGGATGTCACCACCAAGACCTGTGGCGTAATGGTACCTCCTCTCTTTTTAAAGTGAAAGGTACAGGGTTCAAGTCTCCCCAAGAGCATTGTGGGAGTTATTTGATAGGGGAAAAAATATGTGCAAGTGTCAGTTGAGGACCAGTGCGGTCCCACTCAGAAGTTGTTTACAGCAACAACAACAATCAATACTTTTCCCAACTACTTGGGGTTGGCTACATGAATCCTATGTTTCCATTCCGCTCTATTTAAGACCATAGCCGTAATCAATCCAAATGCTATCATATCTTTCTTTACTAACTCTACCCACATTAGTTTTGGTCTTCCTTTTCCCCTAGTATTACCCTCAACATAGACTATGTCACTTTTCCTATCCAGCGCAATCAAAGGTCTTCTTTGCACATGTCCAAACCATCTTTAACCAGTTTTCTCTCATTTTATCTCTAATTGGTACTACTCCAACCGTCTCCCGAATGCTTAATGTGATCATTTATAATTCTATCCTTTCTATTCTTACCACACAACCATCACAAAATTCGTGTTTCTGCCACACACTTTATGCAAATGTTGTTTCCTAGCTGCCCAACATTCGGTACCATAAATTATATATATATATATATATATATATTTTATTAGTAAAATTGTATTAGAAAGCATTCAAATGGGTAACACATACTGCAAATTCTACACAAGGCCAATTCGATACTATAAACTATGGCTGGGCTAATAGCTGTTGTGTAGAACTCCCCTTTCAATCGTAAGGGGGTATGCCTATTACACAATATACTAGATGCACTCCTCCATTTAACCCATCCTGCCCTGATTCTATGATTAACGTCATCTCCGGCTTCTCCCTCATTATGAATAATTGAGACTAAATAATGAAAATGTTCAGTTTTTCCACGCAGAAGTTGTTTATTGCATGAAAACTTAGTAGGTGGATTGTTTAGTATCTCAAGTGGATTGCGTGGTTGGTTACAATATAAAGTTGTTTTTAGGAATATATTTTATTTTTTTACAGCAACAAGCTTTAAACATTGGAAAAGAGATGGTTATCTGACTGGAGCAACTTTATTTTCTAGCATTGTTTCAAATGCATCATTAACTAAATTGTTGTTATTCATTTCATAGCACTGACTTAAAATGTGTTGTGTTATCATCTTTATCTGGTTCTTCACTGCTTCTTAAGATTACTAAGACCTTTTTGATGTTGAATACGACAATATGGTTTTATTTATGTACTTCTTGAGTACGATTCTTTAATTATTTACTTCTTGATTCCGAAGTTGACAAAATATTTTTCTTTTGTTATATGTTGACGTAGGTTAGTGCCTCTTATGAGCAGGCTCTAATGGATGCTCGCAAGCTCATTGAGCGTGAAATGGAAAGATTTAAGATATGTGAAAAAGAAACCAAGACAAAAGCATTTTCTAAAGAAGGTCTTGGCCAACAACCTAAAACGGTAAGAATTATATTGTTTTATTTTGCTAGATGATACAGAACAAAGTATGAGAGCTGTTGTTGGCAGTTGCAAGCTTTGCTGTGAGCTCTTCATAGATTTAATATCTTGTAAGCTTTTCTAATGTTTACTGAATTAGTTCTATTTCTGGAGCATTATTATTTAAAAGGGTGTGCATATTTTGTGTCGTTGATTTGACCTTGGTCTCTGTAACAATGCTAATTTTACGATAAGATTTCTCTCATTTGACGTTAAACATTTATTTTCCTGCTTGATTTTGTCAAGCACATTTACTTATCATTTATTTATTTATTTTTGTCAAGCACATAAAAAGAAGCCTTTCTTACTGCTCACATCAAGCGTTTACAAAAGCTTTGTTGATTTCACTGCAATATGCTGCATATTGCAGATTGAAAAGCTTTAGCTTCATCCGCATATTATAAGCGGATGAAGATTGAAATGTTAGTTATCTTTAGTCTAACAATTCTGTGCTTATTTAACTTTCTTTGTCTTTTTTGTTTGTTTTTGTTTTTGATAGGATCCAAAGGAGAAGGCTAAATCAGAGACGAGAGATTGGTTGAACAATGTGGTATGAAACCAGCCTTTAACTCGAATTTCCTTTTGTCTGCCTTCTTTGCTTTAAGAACAGCTGTGGTTAAAATATGGGTATATTTTAGCTCTTTTTGTTCCTTAGCTTTTTTCATTACTTCAGCAATACAAAGTTATCTTTTATGATCTTTCAAATGACTGTTCCAGGAATAGGATATGATGTTATTCATGCTACATGTGATATATGGTGTTGAGGTATTCAGTTGATATCTGATTGGTTTAGGTTGTGATTCATGGTGTTCCAGTGTGTACTTGAGTTGTAACCCTTTCTTTGGTACTTGGTATTTTAATTTCATTTATCAAAAGAGAAAAGCAAGAAAGTTGTTGAATATATGCTGTTTTAATCATTAACCTTTTGGTATCATGTTGCCAACTTTTCTATATCCAAGTTGCATTTTAAGTTGTGTATGTTGGTGTTATAACATCATTATTTCATTTTACATGACCGCATTAATTTATTTATTATTTATTTATTTTCACTTCTTGGTGTTGTTAGACAAAATACCAATTAACTGTGACGAATTTTATGTCCTTGAGTAGGTCAGTGAGCTGGAATCTCAAATTGATAGCTTTGAAGCTGAGATTGAAGGGCTATCTGTCAAGAAAGGGAAAACAAGGCCTCCCAGATTGGTAGGACTGAGAAAAAGGACAGCATGATCCCATGCGAATGATTACTTATTCTTTTTGTCTAAATTTATCAATGATATTTGTTTTACAGACACATTTAGAGACGTCTATTACACGGCACAAGGCTCATATAATGAAGTTAGAATTGATTCTGAGGCTACTGGATAATGATGAATTGAGTCCTGAGCAGGTCAATGATGTTAAGGATTTCTTGGATGACTACGTTGAACGTAATCAGGTTGTCCTCATACGTATTCTTTTTCCTGCATTATTTCTTAAAGTACTGTATTATTTAGGTGCAAAACTGCGTGTAAGTAATCAGGTTTATTTAGTTTTAAATCAATCTCATTTCTTTAACTACCTTTAGCGTGGGAATTGTTACTTACATGCACAATAGAGTGTGAAGATTACAGATCCACTTGCATTATGTATTTATTTAATGTGTTTGTTTTTCCTAAAGATAGATGACTGTTAATGTAGTTGCTTTTGGGGCAGCCATTACTAGATTTTTACTTTCTTCTTGAAATTAATTCTTTAGGAAGACTTTGAAGAATTTAGTGATGTTGATGAGCTATACGACTCTTTACCGTTGGACAAGGTGGAGTCTCTTGAAGATCTAGTTACAATTGGTCCTCCTGCCCTTGTTAAGGTGAACTCCTTCCACAGGATACTGTGTTCTTCTGAATATTATTTCTATGTGGATGTTGAAACAATCTTTTATTTTATTTTCTTAGTTTTTTTATTTCAAAATCAAATCTTAAATCGCCAATTTGTGCAAAATCCGTGCTATTTTCATTCAACCGCTACAAGATCAACAATTCCATAAGCTTGGGCTTCTGTTGCTGACATAAAAACTTCCCTCTCTACGTCTTCAGATACAACCCATAAGGATTTGCCCGTTCTTTGTACATAAACCCTTGTGAGGGTTTTACGCAGTTTCAGCAGTTCTTCCGCTTCCAGGATAAATTCTCCTGTTTGTGCCGGGTTTAATATTCTATTCAAAAGAAGTAATTCATAATCATCTGGCTAGGATCGATCTAAACCAGCCCATTATGTATTTATTTTGCTATGATCTATCCACAAAAAGAAAGATGCATATGTAGGAAAGGTTTAAAAATCAAATATTTGGAAGGGTCTTTATTATATATTATAGGCAGGTCATTCATTAAACATATATTTGCTAAATGTGTAGGACTGGTTGTATTGTTGGCATATATCTAATAAATGTCAACTCTATGTTCAATTTTCAGGATGCAAGAAGGATCTGTGATGTGTTATTATGCCAGTCAGACTTGAGAAAATGTTGAAATTTCAAAACACTATGCTTTTCTTCAATCAATGCCTTTTCACTTTCCTTTCCTGCCAGCTGAAACTTCCAGTTGCCGTCCAATATTTCTTGTAAAATGACTAGCCTCTATCTAGGCTAGTATTTAGAAACCCTTCCCATAAGATCTTGTGTAGTACTTCTGATCTTTCAGCTGTATAGGCCTTGTATATGTGACTTTGTATTATATCCACCATTGATGTTTATCTGCATTTTGATTCTCCATTAGGTAGGATGAATGCATAGAAATGATCTTCTGCCTAATCTGGTACCAAAGTAATGTAGGACAACACTGAAGAAAGATTGAACTCTTCCATATGAGATGATGTGTTCAGGGCCCCTAGGTCCTCGAACTGTATAGATAATTATCTTTGTACTGTAATAACATTGATAGTTCCTCTTTGCACTGCAAAGCCCTATGAGGTAGCACAAATGCAAAGAAATACTTTCCTGCTTTCCCTAGTACTTAATGCAGACAAACACTGAAGAAGAGTTAATGCAGATAATAGGTCATTTAGGGTTTTGAGTCCTCGTATCATTCTCAGGAATTTGATTCCTGTTCTGCTTGCTGGGGTTTGCATTTGAACAAAGCATGAATCAATCTCGACGTTTGGGGGTCTTTACTCTCTCTCTCTCTCTCTCTCTCTCGTTCATTTTGCTATTATTGTGAAGATTCACTGCTTTAGTCCTTTTTGTTTTACTAAAAAGCTTTGTATGTTAACAAATTAAATGTCCTCTTCATTGTCCATGATAGAACTTCTATAGATAAATAGTGAGATTATTATTATTATTATTATTATTATTATTATTATTATTATTAATTTTTGCAGGGTGTGGTAGCCACCAGTGCAGTTTTAAGCCCGAAAAGTTCTCTGACTGCATCGCCAGCTCAACCACCGGTAGGTGGGCCAGAATGATTAAATTGGACTGACATTATTTAAGTGAATAGAAGGTTTTTTTGAGATTCGATCATCTTTGACATGGTATAATCTTCTAGTCGGTCTGGACTCTGGATCAATAATTAACAAGGGATTTTCATATGTAGTTAATCCAATGACCTGACAGAGGCCCAGTTGTTGTGTGACACATGGAGTCCTGTCTATTTTGTTAAATTTAGCATTTGTGAAGCCTTAGCCTGAACAGCAGATGTAGGGTGCCTGTCATTGTTGGTTCTGTTGAGTTCTTGCAGTTCCCTACACAGCGGGGTTTCTAATGAGTGCTATGGAACAATTGAATCCCAGTTGTCTTTCTTTTTTTAATTTATTCCAAATCTTCATTTATGTCTAAAATGCTTATTTTTCCTAACATTTTCCTCATTCTTTTTATCCAAATCCTTGACAGTTTATTAGTAGTGAGAGACGGTTTAGGGTTATTAATTGGGTTTCAAAGTTCTTTAAGTTAGTTTTAATTGTTTAGATTAGTGTTGTTGGCTGTTGTTGGATAAAAAGTCAAGCTGTATTATGTAGCTGTATCTTTTGGTGGAACATATAATAGTGGTGTTATATATATCTAATTGTTATTTGATGTCCCATTTGTTGTGGAAGGACTTTTCAAATCCCAGTAGCTTACCTTGTCTGTTGAATATTACTTTTAGACATTTTAAAGTGGAATTTCTGAGCCTGTCCACAAGTCCTAATGACATTTTAAAGTGGGTATATTTTTCCACATTGAGTTTTGCATGATTGTTTAATTTAATGTTTTTATTTAACTTTCCCCCTCTCCTCCTGCAGTGCTTGTTCTTTGTTCATTTGCTAGGTATTTTACATTGTTTAAAGTCATTAGATTTCTTGAAAACACATTTATGTCCTAATTCAGTTAGGATGGGTAAAGTAAAAATGGTAGTGAAAGTAAACATTACTTTGAAATGTTTGATAAACCCCACGGTTGATGTTGTTGCTACACTGAATGACAACATGCTGCCTTGCCAAACTACATAGAAAAACTACTGATGTAATACTTCTTGACTGTCTTAGAGTGGTGTTTAGTTCCTCTCTAGATGCGCGATTACTTTGATAAGATTTGGTGTGAATATCCTACCCATGGATGTAACCCATGTACTACTTGGTCACCCTCGGATCTTTGATTGGAGATGTGATTTACTATGGTAGAGTGTATGCCTATGTCTTTAAGTGTAATGGTAAATCTATCATGTTAATTCCTGCAAAGCCCAAAAAGGGATTGTAATGAAAGCATGTCTTCATTTCCAAAATGAATATAAATATTTAGCGTTAGATATAGCAAATCCTACCATATCCCTAATTCTATTTCTCCTTCTTCCTTCTTTTAACAAACATACTTGTGAATCACGTGCTGCTCTTATCTTGAACTCCATCGAGGCATCCACTTGTTTATTTACGAGATAATGTAGTTGTGCTGCAAGATCAAGTTGTTTGTTAATGCTTGATCATTTGCTAAGGGGTTTGTCTAGTATTGTTCATAGTGAAGACAGTCAAGCTTGGGCATTATTTCAAGGAGGCTTGTGAACATGGACTGGTACTTGAAGAACATGCTTAATCCATATGTTCTGATGGTCATGTAGTAGATTATGTAAGTGTTGGTTAAATGTATATGAAGTGATCTATTTTCAAAGAATGAACACATTCCGAAGGTGTTGGACACATTCGTATTGTCTTCTTGGTGCCTGGTCCTAATTCATATAGAACTACACCTTATAGACAATTTTATACAGCGCTAGGGTTGTTATTTTACTATAATAAGCATGCACTGAGACTTATATTCCAACTTTGTGCTTTTGTACTTGTACAAACTTTTCTTAATAAGCCTATGATCTAATTCCCTATATTTACAATGTTCACGTGCTTTCAGTTTACACTACTGTGATGCATAATATGGTTCAGGATTTCCTTTCCAGTTGATATCTTCTATTGAATAGGGTGCTGCTTTCCAGGAGCATGTTGAGGAGACACTTTCCCAGGACACTAATTCTGATATTGCTGCAAGGACACCACCGTCTAAAAGTAGCGGAATTGCTTCTCCCACTGCATTAACACCAGCAGGAAGCCATGCAACTCCAGTTGCTCCAAATGCTTCAGGCCATAATTTGTCCAGTGCATCAACTGCTTCATCAATTATTACAGGTCCAACATCTGTTCGAGGTGTCTTGGAAAATGCAGTTGCTGCTGTTTCTTCATCTCCAGTATCTAACACTGCTAAGGAAGAAGAAATTGCAAGCTTCCCTGGTCGTAAATCTTCTCCAGCCCTTGCTGAAACTGGACTTGGGGGCACTGGTAGAGGTGGCCTATCCATCCAACATTCGACTAGTATCACACTTAATTCTGGCAGTGCATTTCCCAGCAATGGAGCCCTTGGCACTGTTCCCTCTGCCTCTGAAATTGCGAAGAGAAATATAGTAGGAGCTGATGAGAGACTTGGGAGTAGTGGCATGGTGCAGCCTCTGGTATCCCCGCTAAGTAATAGAATGATCTTTTCCCAGGTGGCCAAGGCTAATAATGGAACTAGCGCAGCTGATAGTGGCAATGCTGGTGAGTCTGCAGTTATGGCTGGCAGGGTTCTCTCCCCTTCCATGGTTGCCGGTATACAGTGGAGGCCCGGAAGTTCCTTCCAGAACCAGAATGAAGCGGTATGTGACTTCACAGTTCATTTTGATGCTTTAGCTTATCTTTGTGGGCATTGGTCTTGTTATGTGAAACACAAATAATTTGGCACAAGTCAAATCTAAGCTGCAAATGGCCATTAGAAGCTCCATCTAGTAGGAGGGATGCAAAAATGGATTGAAGAGAGAGGACGAGGGTAAGAGAGGGTGTCTATCCCTCCTTTTGTCTGGTTAGCTGGAGTAGAAGATGATATTATTATTTGTTATACCACTATGCCCTTAAATATATAAATTAATACACTTAAACGAGGTTAATAACTTCTTTTCAGTTTTAAATTAATACATTTTTGATGGAAGTAAAATGGTGGACCTGGAGGGATGTCTCATCCATCCTTACCTCCCTGTCTTTTCTCTCCTTCTACCAGACAATAAAAGCTTGCCCCTGCTTGTCCCTTCCTTCCCTCCTACCAAATGTAGGATGTGTTATTTATTTATTGGTTGTTGACTGTTGTTGAAGGATTTAATGTTGAAGCTACACCCTCTATAATAGCTTAAGCTTTTAGAGTAGATGGTCGTTAACATGGTATCAGAGCAGACAAGGTCCTTTGTTCAAAACCTCTTGAAGATTCAGTTCTGAACAGCCTCCAATGAAAATTGAACAGCCTCAGAAAGGAATCTTCAAGAGGTCTTGTTATTTATCTTCTTCCTCTTTTTTTTTAAGATGCAACCAAAGAAGCTCTAAAAGTGCAGTCTCCCATCTTATTTTACTTTTGATCACTCGTGGCTTTGAACTATTACCCATTTGTGGTACATTATTCCTAACTAGGGGTGCACATGGTTCAGTCTAGATGGTAAACCAGAACTAAACCGAATTTTGGTTCCTGTAAGTTGGAACCAAACCAAACCAATAGAGCTGCCTAAACCTAAGCAATACAAATTAAGCTTTCCTAAAACCATTGGCCAACAATTAGGTTTAGCTTAAATCAAACTTATTCGACTCAACTTTTATAATCTAGATAAAATTCTCATCCGTCGCCTACTTAAGTTACTCAAATCTGCTAACGTGACATGACAACAAGAATTAGAATATTATCTTTTAAAAATATTTACTTGAATCTAATATGTTATGTGAATGAGGGTTAGATTAGAAAAAGAGATATATCTATTTATATACATGACCTTTATTCATTGTGATGCAAGCATATGGTATGAAAGTTACCAATATGTACAAATATTACGTCTGATTTGGATTGGTTCGGTTTCTTTTTAGACCTCTAAAATGTGAACCAGACCGATCTTAACACTTTCCTTACTTTTTTGAAACCGTTGATCCATAGAACTGAACCTCATATAAACCTCATTGAGATTCACAAGACATTTCGTACACCACCTGAGTTGGGGGCAAGGCCAGAATGATCTGGTGTAGAGCTTTCCCTTGTGACCCTCTCTGATTAGATCAAAAGCAAGTGATAGAGGATGGCTTTAGTTTATGGAGAATTTGGTTGAACCGCAAACTTGTATACTTTTGTGAACCTTTAATTTTTTTTTTCTTTTCCGTAGAAAACTTTGATGAATCATATTAAGTGATTTTGCTTGATAAGATACCAAAATTTGAATTTTATTTGTTCATATTTGTTTTAGATCAGTGCCCTTCATTTACTGGAATCTATTGCTTTTTAAGGGTCAGTTTCGTGGAAGAACTGAAATTGCACCTGACCAGAGGGAAAAGTTTTTACAGAGATTCCAACAGGTGCAGCAACAAGGTCCGAGTAACATTCTTGGCATGCCTCCTCTCGTTGGAGGAAATCATAAGCAGTTCTCCGCACCAAAACAAAACCCGCACTTGCAGCAGGTGCTCTTTTCTCTTTGTTAATGACGATACTTTTCCTTTGGTCCGCAGTTTCTGATGAATCTTATCTGTGGATTATTCCTTTATTTCCTTTTTCTGTGTTTCTTGTTTGATTGGTATTTTTACCTTTTCTTTTGGGTACAAAATCAGCTAATTTCTTTTGATATTCTAATATTGGCATACAATTTTATATTATGAAGTTTCACGATTTTAATCTGGAGACAAGAATTAATTTAGTTCAATGATCAATCCATATTGTATATTTAATTTATATTATATGGTTTGATGAATGTAATACCTAATGGACTCTCTCTCTCTCTCAACAATAATACCCATCTTTAAGAGTTGTCTGATATTTCCCGATTAAAAGTTTGTGGGTACATTATGGAGCCAAAATCATGAAATTTTGGGAGTTGACTAGTTATAATAGAAACCAATTAGTGCAACTTTGCCACCACTCACCCATCGCACCCGCACATTCACCACGCTGCCACTTTCCATTACGATTGCTTCCTCACCACAACTATGTCCATGTGTGGCTATTGCCTTCCCCTAGCACCTCCCTCGTCAATGCATTATAACCAACCACCATCACTGCTCAATCAGCATTGCCACCTTCATATCCCCCTACCTATGCTGCCTTTATTGTTGTACTGCACACTCACCATGCGAACCTTGACTGCTAAGGGACTTAAATCTAGCAAGCTAATATGTGCTAGTTATAACGGGGCTATTGACTGGTTAAATGCTAAATGCTCAGGCTCAAGTGTGAGAATGAAGGATGGAGTTTGATAAATGCCATTTTGTGACTATCCTAGTCAATCCCTCCTAGCACCTTGCATAGCCAGCATTGAGTAATTGATACTACTAATAATTTCTTTCAATTCACTTAAAAAGGTTAGTGGCTGAACCCATAATATGAAAGTACTTCTACATATGAAATCTCTATTTTTGGTTAACTAGAATGTGTCGTGCTCCACATGATTAGATCTTATGAAGCGAGAAAAGGACATGTATCTGGTGGGAAGAACTGAGAGAAGACATGGGCATGGGTAGGATGGAGGGGAACTTTGACCCAAAGAATTGGATATTGAGTTTTGGAGTTTAAATCCAGCCTTTAGACGGTGTTTGGAGGGAGTGTGTCAGTTGACAGAAGAAATGAATGAAGAGGGGGAAAAGGTTTTTCTTTTTTCCCCAGGTGCTGAACTGCCATTATGGCACTATTCTAGTCGATACAGGGCCCTATCAGGCGCTAGCTTTTTATCAAACGAGTCGCATTTGAAAAAAATTACACCAATATATCGATATTCAATGTCGAGCTTGCCAAGTTAATTTCAACTTGGATTCTTGGCAGCACAGCCAAGTCTTGTGACCTTGTGGCCTTGTTGCATGGATTCAGCACGTATGTTGGATGTGAGTAGTACGTCTAGATACATGGGTGAAAGCAAAAAGTTCATAGTTTTGGTATTATTCTTTTGGTTTTAGGGTAAATGGGGGTTCAACAATTTTATGTAACATAGTGTTTGGCAACTGTACTTCGCCCTTTTTAGCAATAGTGTAACCGAAGGAACAAATAGGAGAGCTGTATATAAGACTATACAGTACTTGAATTATGCTTGCTAGGTGCATCTCAAACCCAAACAGACACTTGATGCATTCACATAAGTCATTGGATTCTACCTCTTTCACTAGAATGAGACTTCCACAAGTATTTTATAGCTAATTAGAGAAGTTTGCTGAAGCGTTTCCTTATCTTGGTGACTGTCTTTATATTATGACTTTGCAAACTCCTCCATAAACCACACCCCCAACCCACCCCCCCCCCCCAACAAAAAAAAAAAAAAAAAACAATTTTCTGTAATTTTTTTTTTTCTTCTCAATACGACTTTTTATTTACATTCGCTTTTCCTCAGTGATCCTTCATTCTGCATTTTCTATTTAGTGATGTTTGTGTAGCAGCAATGTTAGCTTCCTTGTACTACTACATATTTTGCTTTCTTTACATTACATTTAAATATGTGATCAGTTCAATTATCAAAGCTCATCTCTCTCGTCTCAAGTTGGGTTGGGACTTGGAGTCCAAGCAGCAGGTCTTAATACAGCAGGTCAATTATCAAAGCTCATCTCTCTCGTCTCAAGTTGGGTTGGGACTTGGAGTCCAAGCAGCAGGTCTTAATACTGATACATCTACCTCCTTACCGCAACAGCCAAATTCAGTCCAGCAACAGTCTACTTGGCAGGCATTGGTGACAGGGCCAAAGGATGCTGGTATCATTTAATTAATTTTTTTGATATAAGTCTTTCTGTTGGTCATTTTTAGGCTGATTATCAGCTAGTGTGACGCTGACCTACTTTTCTTGATGTTGAGACATTAGCTTCAAAACTAAAATGAATTTTAACCTAGAATGAATTTCAAAAGCTTTTTCTTGCCAATACTGTGAAATTTCAACATTCATATAAATAGGATAAGGCTGAATTAAATTTCTATAATATAGGTATTTTCCGTTGGAATATGGTAAAACTCAGTTGGTTATTGCAGAAAGCTTTTTAGAATAATACAATTAATAACATCAGATATACATGATGCAGAAGTCGGCCAACTGAAAGTTGAAGAGTTGCAGCTACAGCACACTTTATCTGATGATTCAACCATGAAATCTGCTCCCAGTTCTGGGCTTGGCAAGAATCCCTTGAACGAGGATGATTTGAAAGCTTCGTATGCGTTGGATACACCTGTATGTTTAATAACTCTACTTTGTGAACTTTTCTATAATCTGGTTTGACTTTTCATTAATTGTTTGGGAAAATTAGATTTTGGTGACCAAAATTAAAAAAATTTGCTTTATAATGACCTTAAACTCAACAAAAGATAAATAGTGACTAAACTTAAAAAATATTGGTTAATTAGTGACCATTTACATTTAATGTCCTAAATACCCTCCTACCACATTCGCACCATCCTCCTCCTCCACCACCACCCTCATTCTCCTTTCAAACCTCCTGTGCGCGTTTCCCACCAAGTCCCCATGTCTTCCTCAGAACTTGAAACAAATGAAACCACAAAACATACACACTTGGTGGGCATTTTTGTATGTCAACAACATATGCAAAACCCATGACGTAACTCAATCCACAACGCAACAACCAAAATGGGTATACCATTTCTTTGAGGAAGAAAAGGTCTACCATATTTATATGATTTTCACTTTTGGGTTCCTATGCATGTGCGTGTTTTTACAATGGCCGCCTCACGTTTGATAAATTGCCTCTTCACGTTTTTGCAATGGCCTTTTACAATTTCTGAATTGATGGATTGAATGGTAGTTATTGTGGCGACCTTGTGGGTGGGTGTGCTGTGGGCAGGTGCAAGAGGCATTGGCAAGCTACCACACTAGGCAAGCTACAGGTGCACAATCCCACATCGCCTTGGTGTGGAAAGGGGAAGTGCTATATATGTAGGTGTGTCACTCCAATTGGTATGAGGCCTTTTGGGGTAAAACCCAAGAGCAAAACCATCAGGGTTCGGGCCCAAAGTGGACAATATCATGCTATGTGATGGAGTGAGTCGTTACAAATGGTATCAGAGTCAGGTTCTGCTTGAAGTGTAGCCAACGAGGACGTTAGGTCGCAAGAGGGGGTGATTGTGGCGTCCTTGTGAGCGGTTGTGCCGTGGGCCGATGCAAGAGGCACTGGTAGACTACCACATTGGGCGAGCTACAAGTGCACAATCCCACATCGTCTGGGTGTGGAAAGGGGAAGTGCTATATATGTAGGTGTGTCACTTCAATTGGTATGAGACCTTTTGGGGTAAAACCGTGCAAGATCGGGCCCAAAGCGGACAATATGGAAGTGATTGTTTTGTTAAAGGAAGATTAATTGTTTAGGTGGCACAATGTAAGTTTTATTTTTGTTTTTATTTGTCTTTTTTTTATATCTTCTTTTTTTTTTTTTCCCCCTGTTTTTGGGGTAAAACTTTGTGTACTGCAGACAGCAGATTCTGGCTCTTCGACAGAGCCTACCCAAGTTCTAAGGGATACCAATTTCTCTCCAGGGCAACCTTTACAATCCAATCAACCTTCTGGCAGTCTTGGTGTCATCAGTCGAAGAAGTGTTTCTGACCTTGGTGCCATTGGAGAGAGTATCAGTGGATCAGCTGTGAATTCTGGGGGAATGCATGATCAGTTATACAACTTGCAGATGCTAGAGGCTGCTTATTACAAACTTCCTCAGCCCAAAGACTCCGAACGCACAAGGAGCTACACTCCAATATGGAAGTCATTTGTCCTATATCTTGTTGCTCAATTTGACTTGGGGACAAATTCATAATTTAATTTAACATTTCTTTTTGCTTCCTACAGAAGCACCCTGCAGCAACCCCTCCGTGCTATCCTCAAGTTCAGGCACCCATTGTCAATAATCCTGCTTTCTGGGAACGAATTGGATCTGATAATTATAGCACTGATACCTTATTTTTTGCATTTTACTTTCAACAGGTTGTTTGAATTGTATGTTAACCTTACTTATCAAAAAAAAAAAAATTGTATGTTAACCTTCTTTTTCTTGCAATATAATTTTAGTGGCATTTAGAATGTTCTCAAGTCAACTCTATTTTGTAGAATACGTATCAGCAATATTTGGCTGCAAAAGAATTGAAGAAGCAATCATGGAGATACCATAGGAAATACAACACATGGTTCCAACGGAATGAAGAGCCAAACGTTACAGCTGATGAATTCGAACAAGGGACATATGTGTACTTTGATTTCCATATTGCCAATGATGAGATTCAACACGGATGGTATGTTTGCTAAACTCAACTTTTTTATTTTGTTAAGTTGCCAAAAAATCTTATGTTCCATTCGAAGTTTTGTATGTGATCAATATTATCTGTTCCAGTTTTGTATGAATTGTGATTCTTTGGTTCCAAAACTCCAATTGCACATTATAAATCCTGGTGATATTTCTTTTATCTATGAGGCTTTGCTTTGGCTCTGTACCAGTGAATGAAGAGTATGAATATGCCTTTGTATGCAGTAGGCTACTTCATGTAACACCAGTTCATGCCCTTTAAAGAAAAAAATTCAAATGGTCGTAATGGAAAGCTTGTAGCATATTTTGAAGGTACAAATTGGTCTTCTCCATTAGAACAGTTTCGGTATTTAAATTGATAAAAAGAAGGTAAAACACTCTCTTTGACTAGTTGACCTGAAGAAATGATAAAGGCTAGGATGAAGACGAAGAAGATAAGGGGCATCTTTGAAGACACACACATGCAGAGAGAGAGAGAGAGAGATAAGAATTCTTTTGATATTAAAAGGGGGTGGGCATGTTGTGTGTCTACAAGAAACTAAGATTGCCTCGATGACTGATGGGATTGTTCGAAGCTTGTGGGAGGGAGATTTGTGGAGTGGTTTGCTTTGGATGCGATTGGCTCTTCGGGTGGTATCCTGATTGTGTGGGATAATCGGTGGGTTTCTTTGATGGACTCTTAGGTTGGGCTTTTCTCGGCTTCCTGCGTTTCTCTTTGGTGGAGGATGGTTTTCGTTGGGTTTTTTTCTGGTGTTTATGGTCCTTCAGAGGATGGTGTTTGTCATTTGCTCTGGGAGGAGTTGGGGAGATTCGAAGGAGATAGTCGCTACCTTGGTGTATAGGTGGGGATTTCAATGTTGTGCGCTCTCCTTTTGAGAGATCGTCAGGGGGCAGGTGGACGGCCGACATGGTGTCCTTCTCGGAGTTCATTGACGCTTATAGTTTATTTGATTTGCCTTTGTTGGGAGGCCGTTCACTTGGTCCAGTGGTCGCTCTCCTCCTACTCTCTCTCACTTAACATATTCTTTTTGTTGAGTGATTGGGAGGAGAAGTTTTCTAATGTTGTTCCGGCTACTTTGGCTCGCCCTTTGTTTGACCATGTTCCATTGATGTTGGATTGTGGTGGGCTGCGTAGCAAAAGGTCCCCTTTCAGATTTGAGAATATGTGGCTTCGGGCTGAGGGTTTTTTGGAGCGAGTCCGATCCTGGTGGGTGGGGTATGGAGTAGTTGGCACCCCTAGTCATTCTCTCGCAGGCAAGCTGCGTCTTTTGAAGAATGATCTTAAAGTTTGGAACAAAGAGGTTTTCGGAAATCTTATTTGGAGGAAGAATCGAGTTCTTTCTGAGATTGCTGATATCGATAAGATGGAGGGTCAGGGCCTTTTGCCGGTTCCCTTGAAGCTTGTGAGGGTGGAGTGTCACGCAGAGTTTGCTGAGATCGCTATCATAGAGGAGATTTCGTGGAGGCAGAAGTCTAGAGCTTTGTGGCTCAAGGAAGGCAACAATAATACAAAAAAATTTCATAGACTTGCCAATGCTCACAGAAGGGGCAATCACATTGGGAGGATTCGGGTGGATGGGGAGATGTTTTGTAAGGAGGGGGAGATTTGTAAGGGTTTTGCTGATTACTTTTCGAGGTTGTTCACTGAACTAGCTGGTTGGCGACCTTTGCTTGCAGGGCTTTACTTTAACTCTATTTCGAGTGAGGAGTGCTCTATTTTAGAAGCGCCATTTTCGGAAGAGGAAGTTTTGTCTGCTTTGAAGACCTGTAATAGGGATAAAGCCTCAGGTCTAGATGGATTTTCTATGAGATTCCTTTTGGACTACTGGGAGGTGGTCCATGAGGAGGTGATGGGCTCTTTTCACGCATTCTATGATCAGGGTTCTTTTGAGAAGAGCTTGAATGCCACTTTTATTGCTCTTATTCCGAAGAAGGGCGGGGCGATGGATGTTAGGGATTTTCGCCTTATTAGTTTGGTGGGTTGTTTTTATAAGTTGATTACTAAAGTCTTGGCCTCTAGGTTGAGGAAGGTTATGGATGGCGTCATTTCTGACTATCAGAATGCCTTTGTGGGAGATCGTTAGATTTTGGATGCAATTCTTATTGCTAGTGAATGTGTGGACTCCCGTTTGAGTTGTGGGGTTCCGGGTGTTTTATGCAAGCTGAATATTGAGAAGGCTTATGACCATGTGAGTTGGAGCTTCATCCTTTATTTATTAGAGAGGATGGGGTTTGGTGGGCGTTGGAGAAGATGGATTCTTTTTTGTATTTCTAGTGCTCAGTTCTCTGTCCTTGTGAATGGAGCCCCGATGGGTTTTTTCTCTTGTTCAAGGGGCTCGAGACAAGGTGATCTGCTTTCTCCCTTCTTGTTCCTTTTTGTGATGGAGGCTCTTAGTATGTTGATGAACAGGGCTGTGAAGTTGGGATTTTTGAGAGGTTTTCGGGTAGGCAGGGATGTTGCTAGTAACTAGAGATTTCCCACTTGATGTTTGTGGATGATATTTTAGTGCTTTGTGATGCTGATGCGCCCCAACTGAGATATTTGAGATGCGTTTTGATTTGGTTCCAGGTTGTCTCTGGCCTTAAGGTGAATGTTGGTAAGAGCGTTCTTGTGCCTGTTGGGGATGTTCCTGAGATCGAGATGTTTGCTCAGATTCTTGGATGTCGCACTGGCTCTTTTCCTATTTCTTACTTAGGGTTGCCTTTGGGAGCCCCTTCGAGTAGGGAGCTGGGATCCGGTTGTGGATAGATTCGAGAAGAGGTTGGCCGGTTGGAAAAAGCAGTACCTCTCCAAGGGGGGTCGAGTCACTCTGATTAAGAGCACCCTTTCTAGCCTCCCCATTTATTTCATCTCTCTCTTTCAGATTCCTTCTTCAGTGGCTGAGAGAATTGAGAGATTGTAGTGCAACTTTCTTTTGGGAGGGGAGAGGAGTTCAAGTATCATCTGGTTCAGTGGGATCATATGTGCCATCCGATTCGGAATGGAGGCTTAGGGATTAGGAGGTTGTTGCCTTTCAATAAGGCTCTCCTTGGAAAATGGCTTTGGAGGTTTGGGATTGAAAGGCATTGGCTTTGGAGGAGAGTTATCGCGAGCAAGTTTGGGGAGAGCAGTGGTGGGTGTAGTTCTCTTGAGGTGTGTGGCCCTAGTGGGGTGGGGGTTTGGACTTCCATTTGAAGGGGGTGGGATGTTTTCTGCAAGCATGTTCGTTTTCGGATCAAGGATGGCAGGAGGATCAGATTTTGGGAGGATCTTTGGTGTGGGGAGTTTCCCCTTGCCCTCGCTTTCCCACGGCTTTATAGAATTGCTTCTCACAGACAGGCCATGGTGGTTGTCTGTTATCACCTTGATAACGGGAGACTGACTTGGGATGTTCAATTTAGGATGCATTTTCAGGATTGGGAGATTGAGGAGGTTACTCGTTTTTTTGGAGGTTCTGTATCGCCAGGTGATCAAAGTTGGGGAATCGGATTGTTGGCTTTGGGATCCTAACTCTTAGGGTCGTTTCGAGGTTAGGTCCTTTTTTAGGTGCCTTTCGGTTGGTACCGGAGGCCCTTTCCCTTAGAAGTCTATTTGGCGTTCTAAGGCTCCCCTTAAGGTAGCCTTCTTTGCTTGGATATCCGTCCTGGGTAAAATTTTAACCCAGGATAATTTGAGGAGGAGGAATCAAGTAGTGATCAATCGTTGTTATATGTGCTTGTGTGATGAGGAGACATTTGATCACCTTCTTTTGCATTGAAGCATGGCCAGAGACTATTAGGATTTGATGCTTGGATTATTTAGGGTCCATTGGGTTATGCCTTGTTCCTCCAGAGGTTTTATTAAGGCTTGGAGAGGTGTCTCTGTTGGGGCTCTCATTCAGGATGCTTGGAAGGCTATGCCTCTTTGTATTTGGTGGTGCATTTGGCTCGAGAGAACTCGGAAATATTTTGAGGGAAAAGAGAAACCTATTTCTATGCTTAAGTTCTCTATTATTTCCACTCTTTTTTGTTGGGTCTCTAGGAGATATTATAGATCTATTGAGGAGATTATTGTTTTTTTTTGGCCTCTTTGAAGGTTTAAAGCGCCTTTTGGCCCTTGTGTTTCTTTGGGTTCCACTCCCCTTTTGAGCGTCTTCAATAAAATCTTACTAATAAAAAAAAAAAACTTGATTTAAGATAACATACTACATTGACATATTTAACATCAGAAAATTATACAAGGAATTTTTAAATCATGGGACCGATAAATTTAAAAGTAATAAACCGAAAATTATTCAAGAAAAATCCAGCACAACAATATATGTAAGGTTAGATACACAAACATGTGCGAGCATGACAGTCCATTATCTCACATCATAAGGATAGCCATCTTGGACATCCAATTCTATGTCTGAAAATAATAGCTTGGGATCAGTTTCTTCATTTGATTCTATTGATCTCGATGTGGAAGTAGAATAATGGAGTTCGGATGCAGTAGTAAGCGGGTGTGTGAAGGTCACCAACATCTCAACCAGCCAACGAAGCTGTAATCATGCCGGTTGGCGTCTTTCTTAAATCATGAATTCAAAAACAGTATAATACTCATAAGCAATATGCTGTCTTTTTATTCAAATCGAGATGAAATACTTTATCCTTGAGTTGTTACACTTGGGTCCTCATAATACCTTTCTTTTCCTATTCCATATTTTCTTGTATGTCCAATCATCAATGTCAACATTTTTATTTCAGTTGACATCATCTTATTAACACATTTCTCGACCATCCATTTTTCTGAATCATGAAGCTTATTTTTGTTTTATAAATTTATTCTCTAAGTTGACAGAAATTCATAATCTTACAGCTTCGTGGAAGCAATTCTTCAATTGACCAAATAGAAGTTATTCTCTGTGCAATTTCTTCCTAAATTTTCATGATGCTTGAATGAATGCAAGTCAAATGGTCACGGTTGGGTATTTTTTGGCCTTTTATTGTTCCTTTTGTTTAGTTCTGAGTTACATTATGTGCTTTCCTAGGTCTTTATTCCTTGTTTCTTTAGCTTTTAAATCTTTCCCTGACGGTGAATAAGATGTGTAGTTTCATCAATAAACATTGTAGTGTTAAAAACTGCACCTGGGCACTTCTTCCTAAATATGCCATGTATATTAATGGATGGATACTAGATGCAAAAACAAGACCTTTTTGGTAGGACTTTCTCTCTCTCTCTCTATATATATATATATATATCTATATACATTTATTTATATTCACTACTCTTGCTGATTCATGATTTGTCCAAGAATTATTCTTTGTTAGGGTTGATGAATCTTCTTGTGCGTCTCATTGAACCATACTTGTTATGTTGGTCTACATGCTTTTTTTACTGTTCTCTTTTTTTAACCTTATATTTTTCTTGCCACAACACCTCATTACATCGTCTTTTGTTTTTTTTTTGTAAGACACACACACATTTTATCTCAATCGGCACCCGAACCCTCAACCTCCTCCTTGGGAGGTGGAAGAGATGTCATTCAAGCTAGTAGTTGGTGGTCCTCATCTCTCATTGAGCCATGATAATTAAATGAGATCTCATTATTGTTGGAAGAGTTCATTTTATTTATTTATATTTTGGTCTAGTTGTTGGAAAAATTATGTGCATTTGGAGATTCTGGAAAATCTTGGATCATTTTGATTTGTTTTGGACATCTTGCATCCTTTTGTTCTAATTACTTATCTCTTCGTATTATTATTATTTTTTTTTTGGGGGGGTAGTTATAACCTAAATGAGGTAGCCAAAGTTAGTAAGATACTCTAGAACAAATATAAAGGTCACTGATTCAACGTCTACTTCAAACTAATTCTACAAACTAACTTGATTCAAAAGGGTGTGTAGTCCTCTTCATGTATCCAGGAGAATTAGTCTCCTGGGTATCCTATGATGCAAAGAAAGAGAAAAGGGATTTTCAGGAATAATGTGTTATGCTAAATGGTTAACTTAAAATGCAATTTTTTTACGTGACATATTTCAATGAAGAAAAAGAAAATTGAAAAACATAAAGTAGACTGGTTAGCTTTAACCTTCCGTTTATTGGAGATGTGATTAAAGGAATCAAACCATTACAGGTTTTGTTGATCTCATGGTTATCAAAATTGCCATCCGGATTGTAGGATCACATGTTCCTATGGTCCAAACTTATCAAATCGATCTGGATCACATAAAAAAATTCAGGGAGGTAGGATTGTCATAGGATCATTCAAAATTATAGAAGGATTGTGCCATTGGATTGTTCAAGTATAAAGTAATCAGACGATCTATTTCCTTTTTCTTATGGTACTTCAAAATATTTGCAAAGTTGATTGGTTTTAAACCTTTTATAGAAAATGTTGGTTGTTATGACTTATATAATCGATATTTAGTATATTGTGTTACCAAATTTTCTTGGTTTATTACATTAAAATAGTATTTTTGCTATTATAAACCATGTTTTTCGTGAGAAAACATGAAAATTTAAGGATCTAAATCCTGATCTTTCCATGCAAAACCTTACTTGTAAAATAAGTGCTGTTAGTTCTACCTTCCAGGCTGTAGTATCATTTTCACTTGCATGGACTTGTGTATAAATGCATGTTCGTATATGATTGTAATAGTTTTTTTTTTAAAGTGTTTTAAACTTGATCTTTATCTATTTTAAGAATTTTTATTTATAGATATAGTTTTAGTGTTTTTCCACTCAACTGTAGGATCTTATGATCCCCAATCCTTTTGTACTTTCCTATCCTGTGGAACCCCTTATCAGTCCAACATAAGATTCTGATCCTATCAACCTTGGTTGATATTTATACCTTCTTGGCCTTTGTCTTAGATATGATTCTAATTGGATGGCTCAATTAGATGAGACTTTATGTGGCTGTTTGCCCAGACAATTTTGAAGGTACAAGATTAGTTAAGCCATAAGTATTTGGATTAAGTGCCAAACTTAAATATTGAGGTTTGAATTAACTTGAATTGTGTTGTAGAATCTTTTTTTTTTTTCCTTTTTTTTTTTATTTGCAAATACCGAGTGGTATATTTTCATTTTTTAGGTGTGCACACCTTGAAATCCTAGATATTGTGACACTCAATGATATTACTGAATGTTTCATTTGTGAAGGTTAGACATTATTAAAATCATTAGGACTTTTTATTTTGACTAACATTGTAAATATATAATTATTGGCTATCATATATCTATATTTCTATTGCATGGAAAGTAGGATGTAGATTGTGAAAAAGGAATGTTGTATATATTTGTGATTCTAAAGACATGTTCATACCGATACTGATGCTCCGGTGCCAGAGAATCAAGACTGAATTCACTTTCGAGTACAGCTATCTTGAAGATGAACTCATCGTATAGAATATGTGCAGAATCTGTCAACATTGATGATCCATCATCAACTTCTGGTTTGTAGCATGCTAACTTTGCTTGAAGTTTTATATAATATGTTTTGCAGTTTGCAACTTAGAAAATTGTCCATTTTTACTAGGTTTTTTCAATGGTTAATGACCATGTTAATGATTAAGTACGGGCAGTATCTGTACTGTCCCCTGTAGATCTGACTCCACTGGACTCCCTATTGTTGCAGTCTTATGAAGTAGTCTCCTCTCAAAATTGCTCAATTTACCTTGTTTTAATGGTCAGATTTCTCTTTGCCTTTCTACAGTCCAAACCCAGGAGTATATTGCCATTATAGCTAGCTGCATTTTTCATTCTGCGAGAGGGATAAGCAGCTATCGTACACATGCAATGCACATGATCTGTTCATTGAGTTAGTTAAATGAGACGCAGGAAAATTATTTAGATTTTGCCTGTAATTATGAAAAAATGATATCGAAACTCAAAAAATAAAAAAATAAAAAGAGAAAAAGAAAGATTTTGAGTTACTCCATTTCTTATGATATATGAATTCAAGAAATCAAGCTGTCCTCTTTGTTTTTTTCCCCCTTTCTTTTTCCAGAATTTCAAGATTATCTAACAGGTTATGGATTGGGACAGGATCAGAAAATGGTTATACCTGGATGTTTGGATAATTTATTATGAAATTGTCTAGTTGAGGGCATTGATCATTTTTGACTTCCTGTTATGTACTCTTTCATTCTTTAATTTCAAAAGGAGATCTATTTACAAAGCTGTGTGAATCCTTCTTCACCAGAGTCAATTTCATTCTTTAGTCAATTGTATTTTTTTTTACTAGCGTCCATTTTATCTTTTTTATTTATTTATTTTTATTTTTTTTAAGAGACAGGATTGATAGTTTGAGATCACTTCTCTTTATAATAAGGAATTTTCTATTATGCAAGTGTATTCTAGTTTTTTTTTTTTTAAATATATGTAAACTATTTCTGCTTCTCTCAACATGCTACTTTTCATTTGAAAGGAAAGAAAAAAGAAAATTGGTATCTAATTCTACAAGAGGAGCTGCGCAGAAAGATCTTTTACATCATCGACGTCCATATGTGTTTATATATATATATATATATATATATATATATATATATATATATTGTCAGCGATGATAGAGTTGGGCATTAACGCTTCATAGTTCAGCTCTGATCGTTTGTAATCTTTCTATCTCTCATATGTATAATGTTATATTTTTGCACATATATACAACATATACAAACCTTAATTTGATTAATCCTTTTCAAAAAAATTACCTTTCGAACTGTTTTCCAAACAGATTAATTAAATCATTAAAACAATTATCAATAAAACTTTGTGTAACACGCACAATGAATCAAACATTTCTTTAAACTTAAAAGGCCTTATTTCTTCATTATTCCTTAGTCATGTTACTCGTTCAAAGTAATTATAAAAGTGATATGATACAATTTAAGTGTCGTCTATTTTTCTTTTTCTTTTTAATTACAATTCACGCACATCCATTTCAAGAATTATTTGTTAAGCTCAAGTAACACTTTTACCATTTGAACCAACCTATTAGAGTTCACTGAATTCTCATTCCTATGCATATGCGTATGAGATGCTGCTGTACTATGTTAAAAGCATTTTTTTAATAAACAAAACTATATGAGTTTGTGGCATAAATTTCAAACATGCCGGATTTGTACGCTTAAGCATTTCACCCAATTTTTATTCTACGTGTCAGTCAATTACTCAAAAGTCAAAACGGAAAGTGGGCCACCTGTTTTCTTTTTTTATCATTTTGGTTTATCTCTTTTTTTTTTTTTTTGTTTTCGCGACAAGTACTATGTGTTTTTTTCTTTTTATTTATTTATTTGAGAACTTCGGATTAAAGCTATGGGTAAAAACACAATTACACAATTCCCATCGCTTTGGAAGTTTTGTGGGAATTTAGATGGGTTGATGGAGTACTAGAGTGATAAATAGAGTGTTTTAATGATTTTTAGAAGGGAAAAAAAAAAATTACTTTTCATCACCTCTTAGTTGGTGGGTGGGTGTTTGTAATTGCTTCTCTGTTTTCAAAATATATATATATATATTGAAAAATATATATATATTGTGTTTATGTTCTTCAATACATATACACCGTCCATCCTCATTCTGATATATATTTTTAGTACTATTATTAAAAATGTAAAGAGTTTTAGTATTTCAGTATTTATTTATTAATATAAAAAAATATTTACTAATAGATATAAAAAAAAATTAAAAGAGTTTATATAAAACTCTAACATAAATTATTAAATATTAAAAGTGTAAAGAGTTTCAGTATTTCAGTAATTATTTATTAATATAAAAAAAATATTTATTAATTAGTATAAAAAAAATTTAAAAAAAGTTTCAAACTCTAACACAAATTACATTAATATAAGGTGTTTAGAAAAGTTTATCTATTTAGAAGAGTTTATCAAATTACCTATTTATTATGAGTTTTTTAATAGAAGAAAATAAGGTGCTTAAATATTACAAGTTTATAAATCTAATTAGACAAAGAAATATTTAAAGAAAATAAAAATAAGAGTTTTATCCATTTATAAAACTCTAAGTATAAATTACTTATTTATCTATTTGTTACGAACTTTTATTTATTTGTAATTAATTTAAGGTGTTTAGCAGAATTTCTAATTACCTATTCATTTATTATGAGTTTTTATTTATTTTTAATTAATATAGGGCTAAACACTCTAAGACTCCCTAAGGGTTCAATTTATTACCCTCATATCATACCTCACCCAATATTGCTCTCACACTTCCTAAAGTATGAAAAGAGTGAGTTTATTATTATGGGTCAAGTGCAAAAAACACCCCTCAAATATGCATATAGTGTATATCACACCCTTACCGTGCAATAAAACACCCCTCAAGTTTCAATTTGGTGCAATCAAGTCCCTGGCACATTAAAACCAAACTTGACTAAAGTGCCCTTAGTTAACAATTTTATAAAATATATAAAAAAACAAAATTTTGTGCAAAAGACCAAAAAGGACCAGGACTCGTTTTGTTCACCCAGAAACGGCATAGGTATAGATTGGGTCAACCACCCCTCTTTTAAGGAGATTTGGTGATCATCTTTTGGATCTTTCTGTTCATCTAGTTTAGAATGGGTTTGGAGGTTGGATTGGACTCTCTCTCTCTATTCATCCAGTTTTTTTGGGAAGGTAACAGCGACTTGTTTTGCTCACCCAGAAACCCCATGCGTCGCGGCACCGGCAGGCAATGAGAAGCTCGGCTGTGAGCGACGGTGAGTTCGACTTTGATGATGAAGGCGGAAGCGAGCTCGGCTTTGATGGAGCGAAGGCGGAGAGGACGGATGGTGGTGAGAAGATGGGCTCGGTTGTGGAGAGCTTGGCTGTGGAGAGCTCGGCCGTGGATGACTCGGCGGCGAGCTCGGCCGTTGGAATCGATGGCTGGCGAGAAAGGAAGGGCTCGCGTCGAAATTTACACGGGCATGACCAAGATTGTGTGGAGCAAAAGTGTATCATGTACTATAATATAATTTATTTAAATATTATTTGTAAATATAATATTTATTATAATAATCTATATATATTTATATAGTTTAATATCAACAAAATAAAACTATAAAATAAAAGAACCTGTTAAAGTCGAGGCTAGAATTTAATTCTATTGCCTTAAGACAGATACGCCCCGTTACGGTGCTAACGGACTCTTCGGCGTCTATCTCCCAGGATACAACGACTTTTCTTCCTTTAGAAGTAGCACTTCAAACCAATGGAATAGGCGAACCGGCTCGGTGTAGTACTCTCAGTTGAACTCAGACTCGGAGACCAGGATTGAACCCTAACTCGGAGACCAAGATTGAACCCAAACTTGGAAACCAAGGTTCGAACCCAATCCAAACCAGTTTAGGTTGAACCCAAACCAGTGGCTGAACCGAACAAAGATGAATCAGAAAAAGAGAAGAAGATTTCTGAATTGGTGTGTGTTGAAATGAACCCAATGATAGGTATTTATAGGCTTGTTGGTGCCTATTCTGAATGGGTGCACCCATAGTCCGAATGGGTGCAACCATTGTTGACCAATCAAAATTAAAAATCTGTTGGTGGTTTTTAATTTGTAAAGGGTGCAACCCTTGGTTCAAAGATAAAACTGATTTATGGTTTAAATAAACCCAAACAGTTTTAATTCTGATCTAGCCCAGCCCTTTAATTTCGTCCAATCCAGCAAGCAAACAATCCAACTCGGCGGCCATTAATTCAGCCCAGTAAACAGGCCCATTTTGATAAGTCCAGCAACAAAATAAAATTCAACCACACAGGCCCATCCCAACTTTGTGTAAAAAGTTAAACCTATTTCACAATCAAGCCCCGCCCCGCCCTAGCCCGGATCGGGTCGGGCGGGCGGCGCGTGTGTGTGGTAGTTGGTTCGGATCCAGGCTAGCCTAGGTCCTCCCCCTCTTAAAAACTTGGGTGCCCTTGGGCCCAAACCCAAATCCCATACTAGACATATAAATACTCAAGGTTGCTTTGCTACTTTTTCGATGTGGGACAAGCATTTCCCACTTTATTCACACCCATTTAGGCTTTATAAATCACTTACTTTGGAGCCAATTTCTCATTCACCCGGAAACGGATTTGAGAAAAATAAATATACCACGTTCATCTCCTCGCAGAGAGGAACGCGCTCGTCAATAGATTCGCAAAAAATTTTTAGCGGAATCTTTTAAAAATCCTTCCAAAGTTTGCGTTTTCTAATGCCGTTTCCAACAATCCCCCACATGAATAAAAATTTGCGCATATTACAAAAGGAGAAGATACAGACACTATAGAGAGTATTATTGGAAAGTTACTGCATCGGGATAGGTAGCTTTTGGCCTTGAACTTTCCCTAGTGTATTACTATCGGATTTACTGGCTAACCAGTGAACATGATGTCTTGAACTGTTCAGCCGTTTATGTAAACCAAGACAATAGTAAACACACAGTTCCTTCCCACACAGAGTCGGTTCTCATGGTTGTGTTCATATGGCCCTGAACAACGCCTGGTATTTCATGAGAGCTTTAGAAAACTTAGCCTTAGAAGTTTTCATAGAAGCGGCCCCACTTCACACTCATATAGGTGACTTCTTATTAAGAGTATCCTACCATACCCCACTTGAATTTTCAAGGTATAAGAGTCATTAAAAGCATAGCATATCCTACTCATCGCTGTAGGTAACACTGTCTCATCATAGAAATGGGTAGAAGATTAAATCTTCCCAGTGCTTCTGGTGAGCCATTCAGAATTTCTGTTGTCCCTTTGAACCTAGATTTTGGGATCTCCAGTCAACTAGGTTGGGTTTCCATTAAGATGACTCGTTACCTTTCGGCTTTAATCCCATTCACCTCGATGAACTATACACTTGCTCTCTTGTCAAACCTTTTGTAAATGGATCCGCTAAATTATCTTTTGACCTGATATAATCTATTGAGATTATCCCACTTGAAAGCAATTATCTAACAGTATTATGTCGTCGACGTATATGTCGAGACTTACCGTTGTACATATTACTTTGTGCCCTTCCAATTGCTGATTGACTATCACAATGTATACATATAGCGGGCACCGGTTTAGGCCAATTTGGAATATCTTCTAAGAAATTACGAAGCCACTCAGCTTCTTCACCAGCTTTATCCAAAGCAATAAATTCAGATTCCATAGTGGATCTGGCAATTCAAGTTTGTTTTGAAGATTTCCAAGATATGGCACCTCCTCCAATAGTAAAGACATAGCCACTTGTGGATTTAGAATCCTTTGTATCTGATATCCAATTAGCATCACTGTATCCTTCAAGTACTGCTGGATATCTAGAATAATGTAATCCATAACTTATAGTATATTTTAAATACCTTAGAACCCTGATTATTGCAGTCTAATGGTACTTTCCTGGATTACTAGTATATCTACTCAATTTATTAACTGAGTATGCTATGTCTAGTCGTGTGCAATTCGTCAAATACATTAAGCTTCCTATAATGCGAGAGTACTCAAGTTGTGATATACTAGGACCAGTATTTTTCGA